CATGTCACAAAACACAGCCTCTAACAGATATCTATCTCAATCAAATATTTATAATAAGATCTATATGAAACTCAAATGTTTATGATCACGTGTAATTTATACTGCATTTGTCAACTGTATCATAGGCCTTATGGCACAAATACTACTAATAAACTTCTGCTCTGTTCTGTGCTCTTCAGGTCTGCCCATGTGCCCAGTGACACAAAGGCTGGGCCTCCCGAACCCCTCGTGATCTAAACTGGGTGTAGTATAGTTTGAGGCCGGTATAGCAATATTCAATAGGTGTGAGGGTTGGGGACACCAGACGGACTTCACGCATTGTAGCCATGTCGTGAATTGAGGGGCGTTGGGATAGCCTTATGGTTAATGCGTCTGATAGCCACGCCGAAGATCCGGGTTCGATTCCCTACATGGGTAGTAGGTACAATGTGTGAAGCCCATTTCCGGCTGTCTCTCGCCGTGATATTGCTGTAATATTACTAAAACCATACTCACTCACTCGTGAACTGAACCTCGGGTCTTCCGCTTGACGAGCAACGCTTTAACTTCAAGGTTCCTTGTGTCCATCATAATCTAAACATCATGATGGCACGTATAGTTGTTCTGAGGCACCGCCGTTTGATCCCCTTTGAACGTTGTAATTCATCTGCTTTGCAGCAGATGCTGGGACAGGAGAAACATTCCTGTGAATAGCGCTCCTACCAACGTTTTCGCGGTTGTGTAATACTTGTACCTGGTTCCCACTTTTATATGGAAGTCCAGCAGGGCCAGGATTCATGCCAGCAAAGAAGGATTGCTGCTTGGCTTACCAACAAAGTTCTTGGCCAAGTATGGTCGCTTTCTCTTGGAGTAACCTCATTTCGGTGTGCATTAACGAACGCCAATCCTTAATTCGTTGCCTCCATTCCTAATTGAGATCATGACAAAAGAGTAGTAAGCCACGGGGCTATGGTCACTGGTTGCTGTAGTCCAAAATGTGCCAGATCTATGAGATGTATCAGGTACAGCAGGGGTAGTTATACGGGTGTATAACGATTTACACCATGTCAAATTAGAGATCTGCTCTTTCATCTTCCCCTTATGTTAATATTCTGGACACTGATGGAATACTTCTAACGGGGACATTAAGCGCCAAGAATCCGCCACTAAATTGGCCACGTATTATCACGTTGCAAACAACACAATAATTTGGGGGTTTTGCCAAAGCATAGAATATCCGACATATTAATGTCATTTGGACAGCCCGTTTTCACCAATAAACGTAAAGTATATTTGCTTTCTGTTGAGCGATGTCACTGGAACAGTGACTATCAGTGGAGTACATTGTCATCAGAGGATGGAGCACAGGGTGAGCAGTCTAGCATGTACACCCATGTTGCTTCTTTCTCAGACCTTCACACCATCAGAGGATGGAGCTCTGTGTGAGCAGTCTAGCATGTACACCCATGTTGCTTCTTTCTCAGACCTTCACACCATCAGAGGATGAAGCTCTATGTGAGCAGTCTAGCATGTACACCCATGTTGCTTCTTTCTCAGACCTTCACACCATCAGAGGATGGAGCTCTGTGTGAGCAGTCTAGCATGTACACCCATGTTGCTTCTTTCTCAGACCTCCACACCATCAGAGGATGGAGCTCTATGTGAGCAGTCTAGCATGTACACCCATGTTGCTTCTTTCTCAGACCTTCACACCATCAGAGGATGGAGCTCTATGTGAGCAGTCTAGCATGTACACCCATGTTGCTTCTTTCTCAGACCTTCACACCATCAGAGGATGGAGCTCTATGTGAGCAGTCTAGCATGTACACCCATGTTGCTTCTTTCTCAGACCTTCACACCATCAGAGGATGGAGCACAGGGTGAGCAGTCTAGCATGTACACCCATGTTGCTTCTTTCTCAGACCTTCACACCATCAGAGGATGGAGCACAGGGTGAGCAGTCTAGCATGTACACCCATGTTGCTTCTTTCTCAGACCTCCACACCATCAGAGGATGGAGCTCTATGTGAGCAGTCTACATGTACACCCATGTTGCTTCTTTCTCAGACCTTCACACCATCAGAGGATGGAGCTCTATGTGAGCAGTCTAGCATGTACACCCATGTTGCTTCTTTCTCAGACCTTCACACCATCAGAGGATGGAGCTCTGTGTGAGCAGTCTAGCATGTACACCCATGTTGCTTCTTTCACAGACCTCCACACCATCAGGGGATGGAGCACAGGGTGAGCAGTCTAGCATGTACACCCATGTTGCTTCTTTCTCAGACCTTCACACCATCAGAGGATGGAGCACAAGGTGAGCAGTCTAGCATATACACCCATGTTGCTTCTTTCTCAGACCTCCACACCATCAGAGGATGGAGCTCTATGTGAGAAGTCTAAGATGTACAGGTGTGTTACTTCTTTCTCAGACCTTCACACCATCAGAGGATGGAGCACAGGGTGAGCAGTCTAGCATATACACCCATGTTGCTTCTTTCTCAGACCTTCACACCATCAGAGGATGGAGCTCTATGTGAGAAGTCTAAGATGTACAGGTATGTTACTTCTTTCTCAGACCTCCACACCATCAGAGGATGGAGCTCTATGTGAGCAGTCTAGCATGTACACCCATGTTGCTTCTTTCTCAGACCTTCACACCATCAGAGGATGGAGCTCTGTGTGAGCAGTCTAGCATGTACACCCATGTTGCTTCTTTCACAGACTTCACCCATCAGAGGATGGAGCCTTCACACCATCAGAGGATGGAGTGAGCAGTCTAGCATGTACACCCATGTTGCTTCTTTCTCAGACCTTCACACCATCAGAGGATGGAGCTCTATGTGAGCAGTCTAGCATGTACACCCATGTTGCTTCTTTCTCAGACCTTCACACCATCAGAGGATGGAGCTCTGTGTGAGCAGTCTAGCATGTACACCCATGTTGCTTCTTTCTCAGACCTTCACACCATCAGAGGATTGAGCTCTGTGTGAGCAGTCTAGCATGTACACCCATGTTGCTTCTTTCACAGACCTTCACACCATCAGCAGGGATGGAGCATCAGGGTGAGTCAGCATCTAGCATGTACACCCATGTTGCTTCTTTCTCAGACCTTCACACCATCAGAGGATGGAGCACAGGGTGAGCAGTCTAGCATGTACACCCATGTTGCTTCTTTCTCAGACCTTCACACCATCAGAGGATGGAGCTCTATGTGAGCAGTCTAGCATGTACACCCATGTTGCTTCTTTCTCAGACCTTCACACCATCAGAGGATGGAGCACAGGGTGAGCAGTCTAGCATGTACACCCATGTTACTTCTTTCTCAGACCTCCACACCATCAGAGGATGGAGTACTATGTGAGCAGTAGATGTACACCCATTTTGCTGTGGTGGAAATGCAGTAGACTAATTTCAAATACTCAGAATTTGCAAGGAATGTCAATCGGGGCCAAAAACGGTCCTATTATTGTTAAGTCAATCCTTCCTTCTGCTCAAGTTGTTTAACACACAATACATAATTATCTCTTTGAAAACATTTATTCACAATTGAAGTCAGTCATACATACATTCATTCGCTATCATTCCAACATTAGCTAACAGTCTGTGGTCGTTGCTCACTGAGTGGAAGTGACACCAGAACTAGTCTGAGATCCACCATCTACTACTATAATTATACAAATCAATATTATTGTCACATCAGTTACATTAAATATAGTATGACCAGAAATTATTGAGAATTTTAGGAATATGTTTAATTGGATTTCTAGTATAAACAACCTTGACCAGCTATCAAGTGCTTGGTTTCATTCAAGAGAGACAACTCCTTTAATCCTTTTTCATTAGCTTGTGAAGAGTTATCCCCCTTTGTTTACTTGCTAGCAGACGACATTTTCAGTGATCCTCAGTATGGATGATTTAGAGAAGAGGAAGTTGATTTAAGAGTATTATAACAAGGACATCAGATCAGCTAAAGTGATTTCAAGTAGAACAGGCATCCCTTTGTCCACTGTTTATCGTGTTTTGAAAAATATTGTAGATGGATATGGCACTGAGCACCAGGGAGGCGCAGGTAGGCCCAGAAAATTGACTGTCGGTGACAGGAGTCGGCTTGGTATTCTTTTTTCTAAAAAAACTTAAGGCTGGATATGATTGATAGAGGAACTGTGGCTGTCTGTAATGAGACAATTAGAACTGAGCTGCATGCAATGGGTGGGCAGAAAAGTCGAGGAATTCCATCACCGATCATGAAACCTGAACAAAAGGAGCGAAGGTTGAACTGGTGCTTACAGCATAGAAGTTTGAACTGGGACAATGTGATTTTCTCAGATGAAAGTTCTGTGTGGCTGTTTTCTAATACACTGAAATTCTGGACCAAACAAACTGAAAAACCTTTGTATCAGCGCCCAAAGTACAGCCAAAATTTAACGTGTGGGGTGGCATATCTGTGTTAGGGGCAACGGCCCTCTGTGTATTTGAAGGGAATATGAACAGTGAGCGGTACACAGATATTCTTGAGGGATATTTACTTCCATCTGCTCACGTGTTCTATGGAAATGTTTGGATTTTCCAGCAGGACAACGACCCAAAACATCGTTCAAAGCATTCACAGGTCGGTTTCAGACCCAAAATATGACATTATTATATAGCCCTGACCTAAATCCAATAGAAAATGTTTGGGCACTTATGAAGGAAAGTGTCAATAAGAAAAATCTGACAAATATTGCTGAAATGAAAGAAGAGGTGGTCCGATATTGGGACAGCATGGACCACGACTTTCTAACTTCTTTCATCAGTAGTATGCCCCGCCACATTGAAGCCTGCATTGCTGCCCATGGTGACTTGACAAAATACTAACTGTTCACCTGTCTTTGAATCCGGAGTTATGTTCTGCTAATATTCACATTTAATACGTGAGTAATGAGTGAAACAAATATACAAAATTACAATCTTTAAATTCTCAATAATTTCTGGTTGTACTGTACCACAGACTATGTCACATAGAACACTGATGTTTTTTCTCAGATATATGCCAATATTTATTTCCTTCATATGTATTCTTCAAGTAGTATTATCGGCCTGGATGAAATTGCTAACCTCTGCTGCAACATGACCCTCATTGGGTCAGCATAACTAGATGCTTGTATCTGGACCAGCATCCCCACCATCCAAAGCTGGATCTCAAACATTCTCATGGATTCAGCTGCCTGAGGTGATGAAGTCACATGTCAACCCATAAAATCAAATGTCAACCCATGTGGTCACATGTCAACCTATGAAGTCACATGTCAACCCATGAAATCGCATGTCATCCCATGTGGTCACATGTTAACCTTTGTAATCACATGTCAACCCATGTGGTCACACGTCAACCCATGAAATCGCATGTCAACCCATGAAGTGACATGTAAATCCATGATGTTGCATGTCACCAGAGGAGCTCACATCAAGGGCATCACATGTAACAATGAACTCACACAAAACATGCCACTGTCGACCTCAAAACTACTTTTCCTATTATGCAAAATTACAAAGTCACCAATTGTCAACAGCGTACACGATGTACTGCTACTGTGTATTGATACACAATGTATCAAGCAGTGATGAAGTACACAAGAATGTCAACTTCAAGATGGCAAGACCCACCTTAGAAATGAAACATTTAAATAGAATACTTCTCTAATCTTGTTTTCTAGTACATACAAATACCTTTCCTATCACACGATTCCCTCATAACACTCCTAGCATGCTGAAACGTACAAAAGTCTAATAATCTTGATACTTGGTCCATCTTCATGATGGACAGTCATATCACTTGTGTAGATCATCCAGGCATCACAACACTGTCAACAGCCTTGTAATGTTTGCTTCATTTCAAACAAGGGTGACACGAGAATTGTGATCAGAGAATGATGGTACAGGTTTTGAATGAATCCATGTGAATCACTGGTGCACTGATGAAAATCCATATACAAAAGATCATGACTATATATGAACTCAGAAACAGTGTTTTGGAAGTCCTGACTACTACACATTGTCACATATGATGTCACAAATTCTGAATAACCAATTAACAGTAGGCGGATTCTTCATGCCATTTTTTCACTCCACATACTCTTCCATGAGTATAACAGTAGATCACACACACAGTAACACATGCATATAGTTACATGTAGTCACACACTCACTCACACACAGTAATACGCAGTCACACATATAGTTGCACGTAGTCACACATATAGTTGCAAGTAGTCAGACACTCACACACTAATATGCACAATCACAGTAACCACAGTCACACGCAGTAACACACACAGTCACAGTAGTCACATGCACGCACGCACGCACTCACTCACTCACTCACTAGGTTCGGACCATGACGAACTAGTCATGTTCATGACACAGCAAATTAATTCTTTTCTGGGCAGGTTCAAGCCTACAGAGTTACTCTGTAAGGCTGACCCACACCTGAGCATGCTACAAGAGTGTTGAAAGTTATTGGTCCAATCAAATTTCTATGATTCACAGTAAACATCCACTCCCTCCAATGGCGTGCAGCAAAACAAGTGAGCGGTGTTGATGATCGGAAGGGCAACTCCCATCCCAGTAAGTACTGTCCACATAATGACATATGGCAGTTTAATAAGACAAAGCTTGGCATCGTTAATCCTGTGTTATGTCTCCTGCAGCAGAACATTGGTTGCCATGGAAATGTCATTGTTGGTAACTTGAAGAGCATGCCGGACCCTGTCCTGGCTAAATCCCATCTCGACAAGTCGCTGGACCTACAAGGAAGAAAACAGATACAACAAGTCAGGAATTGTACAATGTTGCAATTTCTTGCCAGTCACCAGCATTCCAAGTCTATCAATGGTGTCTGTGGGTCAGTCACCAGCATTCCAAGTCTATCGATGGTGTGTGTGGGTCAGTCACCAGCATTCCAAGTCTATCGATGGTGTGTGTGGGTCAGTCACCAGCATTCCAAGTCTATCGATGGTGTGTGTGTCAGTCACCAGCATTCCAAGTCTATCGATGGTGTGTGTGTGTCAGTCACCAGCATTCCAAGTCTATCGATGGTGTGTGTGGGTCAGTCACCAGCATTCCAAGTCTATCGATGGTGTGTGTGGGTCAGTCACCAGCATTCCAAGTCTATCGATGGTGTCAGTCACAAGCATTCCAAGTCCATCGATGTGTGTGTCCAGTCACCAGCATCCCAAGCTCTATCGATGGGTCAGTCACCAGCATTCCAAGTCTATCGATGGTGTGTGTGGGTCAGTCACCAGCATTCCAAGTCTATCGATGTGTGTGTGGGTCAGTCACCAGCATTCCAAGTCTATCGATGGTGTGTGTGGGTCAGTCACCAGCATTCCAAGTCTATCGATGGTGTGTGTGGGTCAGTCACCAGCATTCCAAGTCTATCGATGGTGTCTGTGGGTCAGTCACCAGCATTCCAAGTCTATCGATGGTGTGTGTGTCAGTCACCAGCATTCCAAGTCTATCGATGCGATGTGTGTGGGTCAGTCACCAGCATTCCCAAGTCTATCGATGGTGTGTGTGGGTCAGTCACCAGCATTCCAAGTCTATCGATGGTGTGTGTGGGTCAGTCACCAGCATTCCAAGTCTATCGATGGTGTGTGTGGGTCAGTCACCAGCATTCCAAGTCTATCGATGTGGGTCAGTCACCAGCATTCCAAGTCTATCGATGTGTGTGTGGGTCAGTCACCAGCATTCCAAGTCTATCGATGCTGTGTGTGGGTCAGTCACCAGCATTCCAAGTCTATCGATGGTGTGTCTGGGTCAGTCACAAGCATTCCAAGTCTATCGATGGTGTGTGTGTGGGTCAGTCACAAGCATTCCAAGTCTATCGATGGTGTGTGGGTCAGTCACCAGCATTCCAAGTCTTTTAATGGTGTGTGTGGGTCAGTCACCAGCATTCCAAGTCTATCGATGGTGTGTGTGGGTCAGTCACAAGCATTCCAAGTCTATCGATGGTGTGTGTGGGTCAGTCACAAGCATTCCAAGTCTATCGATGGTGTGTGTGGGTCAGTCACCAGCATTCCAAGTCTATTGTTGGTGTGTGTGGGTCAGTCACCAGCATTCCAAGTCTATCGATGGTGTGTGTGGGTCAGTCACCAGCATTCCAAGTCTATCGATGGTGTGTGTGGGTCAGTCACCAGCATTCCAAGTCTATCGATGGTGTGTGTGGGTCAGTCACCAGCATTCCAAGTCTATCGATGGTGTGTGTGGGTCAGTCACCAGCATTCCAAGTCTATCGATGCTGTGTGTGGGTCAGTCACCAGCATTCCAAGTCTATCGATGCTGTGTGTGGGTCAGTCACCAGCATTCCAAGTCTATCGATGGTGTGTGTGGGTCAGTCACCAGCATTCCAAGTCTATCGATGGTGTGTGGGTCAGTCACCAGCATTCCAAGTCTATCGATGGTGTGTGTGGGTCAGTCACCAGCATTCCAAGTCTATCGATGGTGTGTGTGGGTCAGTCACCAGCATTCCAAGTCTATCGATGGTGTGTGTGGGTCAGTCACCAGCATTCCAAGTCTATCGATGCTGTGTGTGTGGGTCAGTCACCAGCATTCCAAGTCTATCGATGCTGTGTGTGGGTCAGTCACCAGCATTCCAAGTCTATCGATGGTGTGTGTGGGTCAGTCACCAGCATTCCAAGTCTATCGATGGTGTGTGTGGGTCAGTCACCAGCATTCCAAGTCTATCGATGCTGTGTGTGGGTCAGTCACCAGCATTCCAAGTCTATCGATGGCTGTGTGTGGGTCAGGACTAGTGGTTGACAGCATAAGCAACAATACATGACATCATACATTACAATAACTCCATTTCTATTTTACACTCTTTTCTGATCCTTGATCCCCTTACAACTATCTTATTTGAAACTTGGGACTGCCCTAAATTGTCAATAGGTTTTGACATTAGGGCTGTGACAAACATGACTTTCCTTCCAAGTCCCATGAATCTAGAAAACCTAAACACTGGAATGTTTAACTTCTGCTCAATCAAATCATTTGCAAATAAACAAGATCCAATGCCATATAACTCCAAAACAGACAGGTCAATACCCCTAACTACCTAAATACAGAGTTACTTGCACTACCAGTTAAATGACCTCGACTTTGATATCTCAGCCATAGACTGCCAAGATATCAAGCATATTAAACATTAATTAAATATGTTCAAGACATTATGTATACACAAGTTTTGGGGATGTTGTCTTTTGACCTTACCTTGACCCTCAGTAACATCAAGGAGACATATAGGAGAAAAGTTCTTGCTGCAGACTATGGCTGTCTCACCGAGAAGACGCCTCTATACCAAACTAACAATACATCATGAAAAATGTCTTCAAAGTTCAGTTCAAACTCAGTGACCTAATCCTGCATTGTCATCCAGTTACTCATGGGCAGGGCAATAGGAGACAGAGCAGTATCAGAAGCCTCTAGCATCTGTCGTGAGGTTGAGACACCACCTGGAGAGGCAGGGGCAAAGATAACTGGGAGCAAACACTAACAAGCCCTCATGTACACTCAGCTGCTTTGAGATCAGACACACAGACATCACGTGAGAAACACATGTCTGAAAGACAGAAACAGAGAGAAAAAATGATGATCCTGCTGGATGGAAGCCATAACGAGAGCCTTGAGAGACTTGACCACCCCTTCCATGAGAGACATGATTAGAGAAACATGATAACATGCTGGATGAGATATGACAACTTGCTGGATGAGATATGATGACATGCTGGATGAGATATGATGACATGCTGGATGAGATATGATGACATGCTGGATGAGACATGATGACATGCTGGATGAGACATGATGACATGCTGGATGAGATATGATGAAGCTTGATGAGATATGATGACATGCTGGATGAGACATGATGAGACATGATGAAGCTGGATGAGATATGATGACATGTTGAGACATGATGACATGATGACATGCTGGATGAGACATGCTGGATCTGGAGCCATATGATGACATGCTGGATGAGATGATGAGATATGACATATGCTGGATGAGACATGATGAAGATGACTGGATGAGATATGATGACATGTTGAGATGAGACATGATGACATGCTGGATGAGATATGATGACATGTTGGATGAGACATGATGACATGCTGGATGAGACATGATGACATGCTGGATGAGATATGATGACATGCTGGATGAGACATGATGAAGCTGGATGAGATATGATGACATTTGGATGAGACATGATCATGGATGAGATATGATGACATGCTGGATGAGACATTAAACCACCTGAGTTTGATATGGAGATTTATCATGTGTCTGAGTTAAATACCAAATTGCGAATGACGGGACAGGGCACGATGGATCATCGGGATTTTCAGGCATGATTGCGGATGCAAGTTCCTTGTCGTTTTCACGGTGATTTTGGTGAGTTCATCCACACATTTTTTCACACAATTTCTTCCATTAGAATCCTTTGTTATTTCGAATGTATCCTTGTTCATCATGTACATATTTTCAGCACCTCTTCGAAAAAAGTACAGTCTAATGTCAAATTGACCTTTGTTTAGAAGGCTGACTGGTGTGTTTGGGTTCATGTAGGTTGATGAATATAGTTTCTGTAGGTCGATGTCACTGATCGAGGGATGGTGATTAGTTACTTTCCATTTCTCTTCAATTCGGCCACTGCGGACCGAAATGAGTCATTCGCTTTCACAAACTCCTTAACTTTTACAATATCAAACTCCTTATTACAAGGGGGAGATTTCAAATAATGGTTGAGTCCATGCCTAATACTCTCTAGAGAGTTCACTGTGTATTGCGATCCGTCAGTCTGTCTGACATCTAGGTTAAAATTGACAAGAACACCATTCAAAGTGGCTTGATCAAAATCTTCGAAATGTTCATTCTCACCCTTTTCTTTTAGATATTCCTTTAAAAGTCGTGAACTCTGATCATTTGCCTTGACAGTGCTTTGGGAATGTAACTTCTTTCCGTTTTTCATCAATTTCCTCGACACTATGAGATGCTAAACGCTTCATTGTCAAAATCCCTTGATCAAGCGTTACAAACAATGCAAACAAGGGAGATAACTCTTGGCAGTATGTTGTTGCTAGGGATGCGCCTGGTCCAGTTCAACATAGAAAAATATACCTATGGCACGTGACCGGTTTTGACTAAAGGGTAGCCGACATTGCTGTGCAAGTCGAGATAAGATGACATGCTGGATGAGATATGATGACATGCTGGATGAGATATGATGACATGCTGGATGAAATATGATGTCATGCTGAATGAGACAGGATGACATGCTGGATGACATGTGATGACCTTCACATGATAAGTGTACTGACCTGTTCCTCCAGCTGTGGACCTGAGAGGTCAGAGGCCGAGTTGTGGTTGTCCGTGGGGACAGCATCTGCTGAATGACAACAAGACGTTTGAAGTTCCACATTGCTCGAAGGGTGGGTTAACAATACTCTGGTGACTCAATTATTACTTTCTCTGAGTCTATCTTGGTCATCCGAGCACACATTTCTCGGCTAGGATCAAGAGTTCTAGCAAAAGTCCCATGGGCAACAACAGACACATTTTACTTGTGTCTCACCAGCTCTGAAGACTGGGACAACCAATCAAGGTCACGTAGATTGCATATACTGGCATATTATTACTACACTCTACAACCAGATTTCCTTCAGAAGTCAGTCCATTAGAGATCATTGCAATTTGTACACACTACTGCTTTTCAAAGTCTCATCAGAAGACAAATCTTTTCTCACCGCACTATGGTCAGCCATGAAATTAATCATAAACAAATCACCCTCAGTAACATGAGACAAATCTCCACTATCCCCTGGATGCATCTACAGCTTGAGCCGATGATTTTATTACCTCCCTTGGTTGGCATATTTTTATCTACGCTTTGGAAACTAAACTTGGCTGTCAATTCATATATATAGGTGTATCTGAGGAACTGAGAATCTCGCTGCTGCAACTGCCTTTGCAAAGTGGAGCTCCGGTTGTAATATCTGAATCACCTGCGGAGCCAGCAAGGGAGGTAATAAAATCACCTGCTCGAGACGTAGATGCATCCAGGGTATAGAGAAGATTTATCGGAACGTATACCCTGGAGATTATCGAGGATGATTTACCATCAGCATCAAACAAACGCACAATATGTTAGTCCTTGGCATACACTTATGTACCTACCCATATTATTCCGTTGACGCAAGCCAGGTGGTAACAGAAAGTCTGGGTTTCCAAATATACCAGGCCCATTTGCTACGTTCTGTAAGGACAAGAAAGTAGGAGTTACTGGCATGACTATAAAGGAACCTTAACAGGGTAGCTGTATTGCCAACCCACCAGGGGATCCATTCACCAAACACCTGTACTAAGGTTAACCTTAACTCCCATTCTATAACATTACATTAAGGTTACCTTGGTGACTTACGATCACCTTTGTGCCTTGTAAAAGGAGGCCCCAAGCACTAAGGTGAGGATCTTAAGTCACTAAGGTAACCTTAGTGCAATGTTATAGAATGGCAGTTAAGGTTAACCTTAGTAAAAGTACTTCGTGAAAGTAGGCCCCGGCTATAACTATGCTTCTCATCTTCACACTCTGGCTGTAACCCAAGTTTAGGTTGTTGTCAATTGGTTTGCTAGTTAACGCGGCATACAGCAATATTCCAGCTATATGGCGGCGGTCTGTATAAATTGTGTCAATTTATAGTCGGAATATTGCTGATGTTGGCATGACGCACTCACCTTTTGCTTCAGAATGATATAGTTGTTGACAGCATGTAAATACAGGCGGGCATGTGATATAGTTGTTGACAGCATGTAAATACAGGCATGTGATATAGTTGTTGACAGCATGTAAATACAGGCATGTGATATAGTTGTTGACAGCATGTAAATACAGGCATGTGATATAGTTGTTGACAGCATGTAAATACAGGCATGTGATATAGTTGTTGACAGCATGTAAATACGGGCATGTGATATAGTTGTTGACAGCATGTAAATACAGGCATGTGATATAGTTGTTGACAGCATGTAAATACAGGCATGTGATATAGTTGATTGACCAGCATGTAAGTGATATAGTTGTTGACAGCATGTAAATACGGGCATGTGATATAGTTGTTGACAGCATGTAAATACGGGCATGTGATATAGTTGTTGACAGCATGTAAATACGGGCATGTGATATAGTTGTTGACAGCATGTAAATACGGGCATGTGATATAGTTGTTGACAGCATGTAAATACGGGCATGTGATATAGTTGTTGACAGCATGTAAATACGGGCATGTGATATAGTTGTTGACAGCATGTAAATACGGGCATGTGATATAGTTGTTGACAGCATGTAAATACGGGCATGTGATATAGTTGTTGACAGCATGTAAATACGGGCATGTGATGAGGGAAATGATCATGATGATGCTGAGCTGGGATGTTACTACTCGGTGAAGACCAAGAAGCATGAAGCTGACCAACCAAGAAGTGAGTGAGTGAGTTTGTTTAACACCGCTTTTAGCAATATTTAAGCAATATCACAGCAGGACACACCAGAAATGGGTTTTGCACATAGTACCAATGTAGGGAATCGAACCTGGTTCTTCGGCGTGACAAGCAAATGCTTTAACCACTCGGCTACCCATCACCCCGACCAACCAAGAGACATAAATAGGGTGAATCTGGGATTTCAAACCATGTTCATTGTTTTCTTACATGCCCAGGTAGCATTGTAGCAGCTCATATGGCTTGGTAGAACTTGATCTGGTATTAATAGCAAGAAAACGCACCAATGGCTGTGGCCTGGGAATATCGATGTTAGGGCGGTGGGCTGGCTGTGAGTTCTGAAAGGCCATGACCATCTGCTGTTCCAGTCGATCTAACTGCTCTTGTCTCTGCAGCTCCAGGGTGGCACCCATTGGCAGCTCTGGCGTCTTCGGGGGTGGCGACTGTAGTACCCGTCCTAGCGTGGCATCCAGCATGGAGGCCACACACCGCGGGATCACCACTAGGGACTTCACTTTCAGGAAGTTCAGTCTCCACAACAAGCCACCAATCTAGGTCAGATAAAACATGGATTATCCACAAAGAATACTCCTCACAATAAGTTAAGCAACACAAATTTGTAGTCTCATTGCATTTTCATTTGTTGAAATTGCAAATCATGTAATGATGCAATAGAAAGGTGAAACATGTACATACAATTAACAAAATGAAATGAAATGGTAATGAGTAATGATAGACTTACAAATCATCAAAAGCATGTACCTGTGAAACAGTCGTGCAAAATGTGCTGCATTGATGGAGCAAAATGTTAACATTAAGGTTCAAGTCAGTTTTGCACAGTGAAGCAGTGTTCAGTAATGCTTATGACGACCATGATCACAAATGCAAGCTTCTACACATCTTTGCATTGACCAAATGAGCCTTTAAAGTTGCTGTTGTGGACTGTTCTGCCATTCTCTCTGTAACGCCTGCTCAAGGTCATTCAGAGTCTGGAGGTGAACATGGAGACTGTAAACACGACTTCCAATAATGTCCCAAGCATGTTCAATGGGATAAAGATCAAGTGACCTTGCAGGCCAGTCCATATGTGTGATTTTGTTGATCTAAGCAAAATCGTTAACAACTCTTTCTCAGGCATTATCATCCATGTACAGGCATTATCATCCATAACCATGAAGTTAGGACCCGCTTGTTGTACCAGAGGAATGATGACAGGTAGGTTTTAACCAATCAGAGTGCATGTGTGAAGAGTAGAGCACATTCATGCCACACATGTTGCATGTTGTTTCTGAGGGTGGTTGTGTTCGGGTGATGTTGCCAATGTTATCAGATAAATCAATTTGACAGTCACTAAAGGGTATGTATTCTTTGAATATTTACCTTTCAGTAACATGTCGGCATAAATCTCTATCAAAATTGATAAAGATATTACACTGAAAATATTTGTTGCTTATTTTTTTTTGAGTGGAGTATATTTATATTTTGTAACCAATTTTTAATATCATTGTAGGATATATCTACAAAGAAGCCCGTCCTTACCAGAAGCAGGAGGGCCTACAGTAACACTTGACCTGTCTCCTTGGCATGTCTTTCTGTGTATGTCAGCAAATTGAATGTCTCCAAAAACAACAACATATTCCAGGAAACATTGCATGCCCTGTGTTTACACATAAAAACAATGCATACTCTTCAAAGAAAGAAACTTGACATAGGAACAATTTGAATTTTTAGGAAAATATTTGACACAAACCAATCCATACTGAATTCCAACATGGAATGGTTGCCGACAACAAAACATTTAAAAAAAGAATCGCTGAACAAAAAACCTAACGTTAAACTCACATTTGTAGTGAATCGCTAAAATCGCACCCAATATGAAATGCATGTGCCTCATGAAATTGTGTATCACCCCGAACTGAAGTCTCTGACTGTCTACACATGTATTGCTTTAAGACACTACTGGCGACAAAAGAATGCCAAGACTGACAGAAGCTCAACGACACAATGCCAGCGGCTGCTTACAAGGACGGACATCGCAGCATGAGGTGGCAAGGCACTTTGGCGTGTCCAGACAGACCATCTCAAACCTATGGAACCAATACAACAATATTGGGAATGTTAATGACGGACCCAGGTCAGGTCCACCTAGAGTTACCACCGCCGCCCTGGATCGCTACATCCGGTTGAGACATCTTCGTTCATGCACCACGACCGCAACATTCACAACAACCCAGATCCATTGACTGCAATGAATCTCTGACCAGACAGTGAGCAATCAGCTTCGAGAAGCCTGACATTTTTCCAGAAGACCAGTTCGATGTAACGTCTTGACACAAAGTCACAGAGTTGAATGTCTACAGAAGTGCAGACAAGGAGTGAGATGGCTGCTGGCAAGTTGGTAGACAATTTTGTTCTCAGATAAGTCTCAGTTTCTTCTCAGACATGATGATGGACATTCATGTGCATTAAGACGTCGGAACGAATGTTACGCTGATAACTGTGTACAGCAGGTCGACAGATTTGGTTGTGGAACAAGTGGCAGGTGCATTGAATGGGGTTTTGCAATGTCACACTGTTCCCTTTATCAATGTCAACAGTGGATCTTTCCAGTATGACAATGCTCGACTTCATGTGTTTGCCAGGACTTCCTCCAGCAAAACAACGTTCAGGTGTTACCATGGCCTTCTCGGTCACCCGATTTGTCCCCCCATTAAACATCTATGGGATACTCTTGATCGACGCTTGCGCCAGTGTAATTTCCCCAAGACACAGTTCGGCATCTCCATTGTTCTATGGGCTGCAGCTGACAAGCTGTTATCGATGCTCATGGTGGTCACACCAGATACTGACATTTTAACTCTGACCAAGTGGCTTCAATAGCCCTCTGTGGTTTTACCACACACTTTCTGGATAATCACGTTTGTGAACGTAATTGAGCAATGATGTCATGTTTGAATCAGTTATATGCAGTCAGTAAAAACACTCCAAAACAGCATGTCATGTTTCTTGTATCTTGAAGAGTATATATATAACGAATGTCTTAAAATCAAAACAATGTTACTTTCTCGTGAATTGATGTAGCTTACGTTAGACTTACAATTCCACAGACTGCGACAAGTCTTGTCTCAAATGTTGGACTTGCTACCTGATGACAGAATCATTATGTGCTCAGAAATCAAACAAAGCAAGTGGCATTAGGAATAAACAGGTCATGAATCTGCATAATTACTTTACAATTATGTAAGAGCAACACCTTGTCTGCAATTCATCTCAAGCCTTAGTCTTGACTTTATAATTTCTAATTGCCTAAAACCATCTGATAACTCATTATCAGGGATTTACAGGAGGCGAATTCTTGTGTCCTATACGCATAAAAATTGACAATGGACGCAGCAAAATTTAATAGCGCATCCACGGGGACACAGAAAAAGTCCACTTTTTGTAAAATTTCAATGAAGTAACAATAGGTTATCACTGAGTTTGCTACTAGAATTGAATTCCTGTAACAATGTGATGATCCTGATACACAGTAACTGAATTACAACAATATTACAACACAGTATTAATAATGTAATTTTTGGAGTAAAATTGATATTTTATACTTATCCTGACTCATGCTCTTTTGCTTGTCTTCTTCTTCTTGCGAACATAGTGGAACACTTGTATCTCCTTAATTGAAGCTCCCTTCAATGTAAAATCACTAATTGGTACTCACCAAGAGTTGCCTCCCTTTGCCCTTTGCCCTTTGCCCAACACTTGAATTTACAGGGAAATCCAAAGTGTTATGTGGGGAGGATGGGATGGCTTACCTCATGAGTCAGGATAAGTATAAAATATCAATTTTACTCTAAAAATTACATATTTTTCCTTATCCTGACTCATGCTCTTTTGCTTGTAGAATCCTACGGAAACGGAGGTGGGAAGAACAGAATACTTTGGATTTATAATTAGTGATTTATATAGCTATAACTGTAATAACCCCCTTATGGGAACTTCATAAAGGCATTGACTTAAGATATTTCCTCTATATAATAAGCCATAGATTATATATGTCATAACTGGGGTATTACAATACTAATATACTAAGATATTATAAATGGATATAAAAGCGACTCTGATAGAGAAGCTGTACAACTGAACATAATCATCAGTATAAGCTTAAGGCTGAGTAAACCTAAGCTAAGTATATACATAGCCCTAGAACTCCGTAGAGATATAAGCTAGATAATGTATGTATAACTATACATAATAATCTCGTGGGAGTAAAATTTAACGCCTACGAGGGACTGTCAGCTGCTGTGCGAGGACCAAGGGACCGAAATGGTGAATGCGAGAGACGTCCTCGGTGGTGATATCTCTCAGATAGTGATTAGCAAACACCATGTTAGATTTCCAAAAGCATCCTTCCATAATTGTATTCAATGAACAGTTACCGTGTAGGGCAAGAGTGGAAGCCAATGCCCTGATCTCATGGGGATTTGATGCTGTTGGAGGGTCCAAGCCTGCTGCCTTGTAGGCGCTAAGTATGACAGTCCTTATCCATATAGATATGGTGGTACGAGAGACTTCTGTCTGAGTTGTTGCCGATAAGGGGATGAATAATCGTTTGAGAAATCTTCCCCTTGTTTTGGAACGTCGTAAATAGATTTTGAGAGCTCTGACTGGACATAGTGATAAGTCCAGTGTATCTTGAGATCCGAGAATCGAAGATAGTGCAGGGACGTGAAATAACCTGTCTGGTTGACCTGGTAGTTGATTTTTGGCGATGAAATCCCATCTTAATCCCAGGTGTGCTGTGTTTTGATTGTCATCAAACTGTATCCTCTCATAATCTAGAGCGTGAATTTCTGACATTCTGGCTGCCGTGGCTAGAGATAACAGGAACAGTGTTTTCTGTGAGAGAAATTCAAAGGTTGTCGATTCCAACGGTTCATAAGCCTCACTTGTGTGAGGTGTTGTAGCACTACATTCAGATCCCAAGCTGGGGCGTGGAACTTCCGCTTTTGGTCCTCCAATCGGAAAGCACGTAGTAAGGCCAGTAACTCTGGGGTCTTAGTCAATTTGACACCCGTTCTCATAGTAATCACAGAACTAAGCGCGGCAAGATATGTTGACAATGTTGAGCCTTTTAAATGTTTGTTTTGTCGTAGGTAACACAAATAATCTGCCACTTGTGGATGAGTAGCATCTCTCGCTGTAAATCCCTTTATTTGCTGCGTAATTTTCAAACTGTGCCACTTTGTCGCCGTATTGCAAGTTACGGTAGAATAGCGTGAAGGCAAGCGTGACCGCTTTGCCACTCTGGTTGAATACCCTCTCTTGTTTAAACACATTTTAATACAGTCCATGCATTGAAGTTGGAATACTTCTGGGCTTCCGTGCACCTGTTTGGTGTGTGGATGTATTAATAGATTTGAGCTTTGGGTAGCTCTAGTGTTGGTTGACCGATTTCTTGAATTAGAATGGGAATCCACTTTCTGGCCGCCAGTAGCTGTACCAAAGTGAGTTGTAGGCTCTGTGTTTGTCTGATTTTCTGTAACACTTGAGGTATTATTGCTGGCGCGAAACGCCGCACGCATTGAGGCCTTCCCAGGATATGCTTAGAAGTCCGTTGCCCATGCTTGTGGGTCTGGGACTGGTGACACGAATAATGTCGGTAGCTGATTGTTGAATCGCGGTGGCTAATAGATCTACTAGCGGCGCTCCTATTTGCTTGATTATCTGTGCAAAGATTTCTGTATTGAGCATCCATTCTGTTGGTGATGGTTGATGTGGTCGAGAGAGTGCGTCTGCTAGTACATTCCTGGCTCCGGGAATGTGACATGCTCTGACATGTAGATTTAGATCGTGGATTAGATCGAACAGTTGAAAGCTTAAAGTCAAAAGGTTCAGTGATCTCGTTGAGCCTTGTCTGTTCACATAGAACGCCACTGTCGAGTTGTCGGTATGAATCATTAGGTGCGCATTTTGTAGAATGGTGCTCCAATGCAGTATGGCGTTGATTACAGCTTTCATCTCTAACATGTTTATATGGAGCTTGCTTTCTTGCTGATTCCATAACCCTGATGCCGTCCGGTTGGCGAGATGAGCTCCCCAACCTTGGAGCGACGCGTCTACATATAGATGGGTTTTGAATTCCTGCTCTGCTAAACAAATCCCTTCTCAGACATTCGATTTCTTGGTCCACCATAGTAGATGAGGTCTGAGATGTTTCGGTAGACTGAATGGTTGTAGGTCGTCGAGATGTGCATTGATGAAGACCTGTAAGGGACGTAACTGTAATCTGCCTCTGACTGTCATGTCTTGAGCTGATGTGAGGAGACCTAACAGGCTCTGCCACTGTCGAAGTGGTAATGGAGAGAGTAGAGCTGGTGGAATGGTCTGTTGGATCTTGAGCCAACGGTCTTCTGGTACGACGATACGGTTGAGATTCGTGATAAATCGAATGCCTAGGAACTGCAGATCTTGCGATGGTACTAGGTCCGACTTGAGTAAGTTTACTAACCATCCCAGCTGTGTTAGTAGCTTTATGATGTAGTTTAACTGTAGTTCGAGACGCTGTGGATCTTGATCTACTTGTATCCCGTCGTCGAGGTAAAACGCACTGCGTAGCCCTTGACGATGTAGATAGGTGATAATCGGTTTCGTTATCCTCGTGAATAGCCAGGGGGCTGATGATATTCCGAATGGGAGTACTTTCCACTGGTAATGTAGCCCGTCTAGTGTAAACCGTAGGTATTTCCTGAATTCGGGATGTATCGGGATGTGTAGATATGCGTCCTGTAGATCTATACTGCCCATGTAATCCATGGGGCGAATCAACTGCCGTAACTGAGGTAGATGTATCATGCGAAACTTTGGTGGTTTGCGTAGATAATTCCTGTTGAAAAAGCTCATGTTGTAAATGAGTCTGTATTTCTCCTTGGAGTTTTTCTTGGGTACTAGGAAAACTGGGGAGTAGAAACCTGGTTCGATGTTTAGTTGATCTAGTACTTCTATGGCCTGCTTGGTTAGGAGTGATGTAACAGCCTCTCTTAACTTTGGTAGTTGTTGAGCCTGTAAGTCGAACTTGTGAGGGTTGACTGTCAGCGGAGGCTTGGCCTGTAGTGGGATACGAAATCCGTGTTGAAGAATGTTGGAGACATAAGGGTCTTGTAACATTCCCCAGTTTTCCCAGTGTAGTTGGAGGCATCCACCCACTTGTGACGGTTGTACTGGAACGGCTGGGGGTGGAAGACTCCAGTCGTTCCGAACCTGTCTTTCAGCGTTTATAGTTGCGGGAACCTCTGGGTGTCCTGCCTCTTCCTGACCCTCCTCTATAGTTGCCATATGGGCAACGAAAAGAATCTTTTCCCCTGGAGCTGGCTATCTTCCTATCCCGTGCTCTCTGTAGACCAGTGAATTTAGATCTCCCTGAGTATCTTTGTGAAGTCTGTCTGATGACGCTGGCTAGCGTGTCCATCGATTTAATCATAAGGACTTCTCTGGAATCCTTAGTGACTTCCTTGGAGACGTTGTCTATTCCTCCATCAAAGATGGATGGGGAAGACCACGGGGCTGTATAGAGTGGAGCTGTAAAGTTCTCACCCCAGTTGCAGGAAGCGAGGAGGCCTTGACGACGAGCTAGGGTCAGTGCTGCTGAGACAGATGTGAGATGATCCGTTAGGAACTGCTGGTCCTTCTTTTGCATCAGTAGGGCCGAGTATATCATCCTATCATCTTCAGAGGTCGTATTACGAAATCTGGTGATAAGTGTCTCATTGATCGTTCTAGATCTATTTAGACCAAAGAACATGCGTCTCGTCATGGTTTCTATCTGAACCAATTTGCGATCGTCAATCTTGTAGTTCTTATTCTTGACATCGCTGATCAGTTTGTAGTTTTCATTGATGTCTTGAGCCTTGAAGAAGGGGTCCATGTTGTGCGTGGAGAACTTCTTGGCGTGAAAGTTTGGTAGATGTGGTGTCTGAACTTTCGTGGCTTTATGGAATGCTGTGTCAAGATTCTGTGGTACCGCAGCAATCGGGTCGATCGGAGGTAGGGTGATGGCATCTGCATCGTCTTCCTTCATCAGGTATGTCTGCGCCGAATTGCCACTCTTGGAAGGTGATGAGAGATCTAGGTTGTTTACCATCCAATATCGTATTTCTGCATCTGAAAAAATGATTCCTCTATCATCTTCTATTCCAGCATCACTGATGAGAGGTTGGTGCTCTTCTGATGGTGGACTGTGAGATTCTATCTCTATGTCGGGTGATACTTGTGGAGACCTGGCTGTAGACTTGTGTGCAGACCTGTGTGGTGACCTGTAAGGTGATCGACGTGGTGATGTACGCGGAGATCGGCGTGGTGAACGGCGAGGAGATCGTCTTGGTGATCTACGTCTATGGGTTGACCTTCTCGGAGACCTGTGGGGAGAATGTTGATAGCTTCGCGAAGCTCTTGTGTAGTCCCTCGATGTCCTTATGGACGATGACGATCTGGGTTCAGGCGTCCTTCGCGAAGCTTCCTCTGCGTCCGGTCCTGGGGAACGGCGATATGACCTTCGCGAAGGCTTCCGTGAGGTCTGGTGGTCTGAGTCCGCATCTAAGGATGAAGCCGAGGAAGGTGATGATCTATCCCGCCTTCGCGAAGGCCTTCGCAAAGGCTGTACATCTGGGTCCTTCGACGAGGTGGTCTGTGACTTCCTTCGCGAAGGTGGCATCGTTGTGGCTGGTACGTTGACGGGGGGTGCCTCTGGTGTGTCGTCTACCTGGGTTGGCTGCTTCTCCAGTCTGTAGTGGCCCTCCATCATGACCATGATTTGCCGCATTAGTTCATCTGGGATGGTCTGCGACGATGTAGTCGGTGCCTTCTCTGCGATGTTAACGGTCGGGCCCTCAGGGATTTCGTCTGACATCAGTGTAGAGGCATCAGGCTGCATGGTGATCTCTGCTGAAGTCACTGTAGCTGTCACCGGTCGCTTCTTGTGGCGTATGTCGGGGATGATGATCGGCTGATCATCGTGGAGGCCCAGTTCTGCGGCTGGAATGATCTCGGCTGAGAAAGTTCTTGACGACTTCGTAGACTTCCCTTTGGAGGTAGACGCTGCCCTGGGGGTACGAAGTCTGCGTTGAGAAGACGTCGAGGCCCTCTTGGACTTTAGCTGCGATGACGGGATGTCTGGGGAGGCCGGACGCTTCTTAGAGGTGACGGACTGCATCCCACGCCCCTCTTCCGATGGGGTCTCTAGCAGAACACCAGACGGGAGGGGGTCGATCGACAGCAGCTGACTGGATGGGGAATCCGATGTATCGGCCATGTCTAACCCTTGTTTGCGTGACCTATCTGCAGCACGTCTCAAGACGCAAAGATGGTATTTATTAAAAGCAGAATTAGTTAAATTAATGCAGTAACTGCACGTGAATCAGCGCGACAAGGTAGAACAACTAGGGCATAATACATGCGGATCAGCAGCAGAAAACGTAATCTACAAATAATACAGATTTTCATCAACGTAATACTAGCTGAACAATCACGAACTCACTTGAATAAACAGTAGAAATACGATTAATTATCAATACAAATTAATGAAGGATACTAGCTATACCTCTATAGTAACCTATAAGAGGTAATTAACTAAGAAAACCAAAGGATATAGTGTGTAAGGAGACACAGGCGCTCTCACATCCTGCTCACTGGGCGAAGAAGGAGAGAGTGAAGCATGAGGCCAGAGGGTGGCGACACCTGTTCCCGCGCAAAGGGCAAAGGGAGGCAACTCTTGGTGAGTACCAAATAGTGATTTTACATTGAAGGGAGCTTCAATTAAGGAGATACAAGTGTTCCACTATGTTCGCAAGAAGAAGAAGACAAGCAAAAGAGCATGAGTCAGGATAAGGAAAAATATAACTAATTTATGTGTCTGGAACCCCACTGTATAGTGCAGGACCCCTGAAAATTAAGAGTATGAGTCCCAGGGAACCTCAAATACAGGACTCAAGGAAAATTCCTGCTCTTTATGGTGCCTAAGACCATCTGATAACTCTCTATGGTTCCTAAGACCAACTGATAACTCTTTATGGTGCCTAACACCAACTGATAACTCTCTATGGTTCCTAAGACCAACTGATAACTCTCTATGGTGCCTAACACCAACTGATAACTCTCTATGGTGCCAAACACCAACTGATAACTCTCTATGGTGCCTAACACCAACTGATAACTCTCTATGGTTCCTAACACCAACTGATAACTCTCTATGGTTCCTAAGACCAACTGATAACTCTCTATGGTGCCTAACACCAACTGATAACTCTCTATGGTGCCTAACACCAACTGATAACTCTCTATGGTGCCTAACTTCATCTGATAACTCTCTATGGTGCCTAACACCAACTGTTACAGCTCTCTGGTGCCTAACACCATCTGATAACTCTCTATGGTGCCTAACACCATCTGATAACACTCTATGGTGCCTAACACCATCTAATATATATCTCTATGGTGCCTAACACCAACTGATAACTCTCTATTGTGCCTAAGACATCTGATAACTCTCTATGGTGCCTAACACCATCTAATATATATCTCTATGGTGCCTAACACCAACTGATAACTCTCTATTGTGCCTAAGACATCTGATAACTCTCTATGGTGCCTAACACCATCTGATAACTCTCTATTGTGCCTAACACCATCTGATAACGCTCTATTGTGCCTAACACCATCTGATAACTCTCTATTGTGCCTAACACCATCTGATAACTCTCTATGGTGCCTAACACCACCTGAAAACTCTCTATGGTGTCTAACACCATCTGATAACTCTCTATGGTGCCTAACACCATCTGATAACACTCTATGGTGCCTAACACCACCTGAAAACTCTCTATGGTGCCTAACACCATCTGATAACTCTCTATGGTGCCTAAGACATCTGATAACTCTCTATTGTGCCTAACACCATCTGATAACTCTCTATTGTGCCTAACACCATCTGATAACTCTCTATTGTGCCTAACACCATCTGATAACACTCTATGGTGCCTAACACCACCTGAAAACTCTCTATGGTGCCTAACACCAATGATAACTCTCTATGGTGCCTAACACCATCTGATAACACTCTATGGTGCCTAACACCCCCTGAAAACTCTCTATGGTGCCTAACACCAACTGATAACTCTCTATGGTGCCTACGACATCTGATAACTCTCTATGGTGCCTAACACCACCTGATAACACTCTATGGTGCCTTAGACTTCTGATAACTCTCTATGGAGCCTACTCACCTCAAATAAAGGACTCAAGGAAAACTCCTGCTCTTTATGGTGCCTAAGACCATCTGATAACTCTCTATGGTGCCTAAGACCAACTGATAACTCTCTATGGTGCCTAACACCAACTGATAACTCTCTGTGGTGCCTAAGACCATCTGATAACTCTCTATGGTGCCTAACACCATCTGATAACTCTCTATGGTGCCTAACACCAACTGATAACTCTCTATGGTGCCTAACACCATCTAATATATGTCTCTATGGTGCCTAACATCAACTGATAACTCTCTATGGTGCCTAACACCATCTGATAACTCTCTATGGTGCCTAACACCATCTAATATATCTCTCTATGGTGCCTAACACCAACTGAGAACTCTCTATGGTGCCTAACACCATCTGATAACACTCTATGGTGCCTAAGACATCTGATAACTCTCTATGGTGCCTAACACCAACTGATAACTCTCTATGGTGCCTAAGACATCTGATAACTCTCTATGGTGCCTAACACCATCTGATAACTCTCTATGGTGTCTAACACCACCCGAAAACTCTCTATGGTGCCTAAGACATCTGATAAGTCTCTATGGTGCCTAACACCATCTGATAACACTCTATGGTGCCTAACACCACCTGATAACTCTCTATGGTGCTTAACACCATCTGATAACGCTCTATGGTGCCTAACACCACCTGAAAACTCTCTATGGTGCCTAAGACATCTGATAACTCTCTATGGGGCCTAACACCACTTGATAACTCTCTATGGTGCCTAACACCACCTGATAACACTCTATGATGCCTAAGACATCTGATAACACTCTATGGAGCCTAACACCACCTGATAATACTCTATGGTGCCTAAGACATCTGATAACTCTCTATGGAGCCTACTCACCTGTAGACCAAGGATGTACGTCAGCGTCTTCCCAGTGACAGGCACACCCAGAATGTGAGTCATGGCAACGCGTGGAATATCAAAGTAATACGGCACGAACAGCGGAAACACAAAGCAGATCCTAGATGAAAGATTAACAGTGGCAAATTCACAGTATACTATACAGTCAGCTATTCAAGCAACACCTCTTCATTTCAAAAGGATGATGAAAGTTGTTGTCACACTTACAACATGGTCTTTGAACTAACAGAATAGTGGGTGCTCCTTGTCACACTTACAACATGGTCTTGGAACTAACAGAATAGTGGGTGTTCCTTGTCACACTTACAACATTGTCTTGGAACGTACAGAATAGTGTGTGTTCCTTGTCACACTTACAACATGGTCTTGGAACGTACAGAATAGTTGGTGTTCCTTGTCACACTTACAACATTGTCTTGGAACGTACAGAACAGTGTGTGTTCCTTGTCACACTTACAACATGGTCTTCGGGCGTACAAACTAGTGGGTGTTCCTTGTCACACTTACAACATTGTCTTGGGACATACAAACTAGTGGGTGTTCCTTGTCACACTTACAACATGGTCTTGGGACATACAAACTAGTGGGTGTTCCTTGTCACACTTACAACATGGTCTTGGGACATACAAACTAGTGGGTGTTCCTTGTCACACTTACAACATGGTCTTGGAACTAACAGAATAGTGGATGTTCCTTGTCACACTTACAACATTGTCTTGGGACGTACAGAATAGTGGGTGTTCCTTGTCACACTTACAACATGGTCTTGGAACTAACAGAATAGTAGGTGTTCCTTGTCACACTTACAACATTGTCTTGGGACGTACAGAATAGTGGGTGTTCCTTGTCACACTTACAACATGGTCTTCGGGCGTACAAACTAGTGTGTGTTCCTTGTAACACTTACAACATGGTCTTTGGGATGTACAAACTAGTGAGTGTTCCTTGGTAACACATATTTACTCTGTCACATTTGGGCGGACTGACTGAGAAGTGAGCAGTGTTCCTTACGGTCCTGTGGGGAGATTCTCCACAGATATCTCCAGATGCTGACATGCCCACAATGACCCGACCTCCACCCCACAGGCCAGTGCCCCAGAGGCAATCAGGTAGGACTGAAACATACAATCAGGGGAATTTAAACCACAGTCAAACGTTTCTGGGCAATACAAAGCCATGATCATAGGATTCTGGGCAATCAAAATACACAATCAAGGGGACATAACTCCACACAACAGCTTGTGGTATCTCAGGCCAGCAGGCCATCTGTGCCCACAGATATTTATGGTGCGCTAGTGGAAAGGTGAAAACAAAACTAGGAAAGAGTTGGGAGGACACAACAGGAATATTGCTGATCTCATCCTGTCATGTTTATCTCAGAGAGTACACAGGAAATCTACGAGAGACCAAACATGCCAGAAGTATTAGTGGTCTCCAAATAACACAAGTCACCAGTGTGAAGTCAGAGTCCAGTTTCTTCTGGACAAGTAAGACTGATTAATAGGGCTGCAAAGATTCAGTTAGATTCCTCGAACATCGAATCTGACACCTTAGATTCATTTTTGATAACCATTATCACTATTTCGATTCAATACTTGAATAATTTCACTTATTTCCACACAGCCAGAACGTAATTTTGACACCAACTCGAGCAGTTTTGAGCGCTTAAATAAGGCGAAACGTGATTGGTGGACGCCTGGCTAATTATTCAACGAGAATTGTTGTAAGTAGCCAGCACCAAGTTGATGATGGATTTCATGCTAAAAAAGCCGACTCTGGCAGTAAAATGAAATCTGATGTTTTTACTTGTATGAAGAATCGAATCGAAAATGATCGAATTGAGGGCCAATATAAAAAATCAAATCGAATCGAAGTTTGGATGAATCGATGCAGCTCTACTGATTATTGCAAGTAAACATACTGAGGCGAAAATTCAAAATGCATAGTCATACTTAGACTTAGAGACTCCAAAGTGTTTCATACAGACTGCAACAACAGACTTAGACTTAGAGACTCCAAAGTGTTTCATACAGACTGCAACAACAGACTTAGACTTAGAGACTCCAAAGTGTTTCATACAGACTGCAACAACAGACTTAGACTTAGAGACTCCAAAGTGTTTCATACAGACTGCAACAACAGACTTAGACTTAGAGACTCCAAAGTGTTTCATACAGACTGCAACAACAGACTTAGACTTAGAGACTACAGACTGCAACAACCAAAGTGTTTCATACAGAGTGCAACAACAGACTTAGACTTAGAGACTCCAAAGTGTTTCATACAGACTGCAACAACAGACTTAGACTTAGAGACTCCAAAGTGTTTCATACAGACTGCAACAACAGACTTAGACTTAGAGACTCCAAAGTGTTTCATACAGACTGCAACAACAGACTTAGACTTAGAGACTCCAAAGTGTTTCATACAGACTGCAACAACAGACTTAGACTTAGAGACTCCAAAGTGTTTCATACAGACTGCAACAACAGACTTAGACTTAGAGACTCCAAAGTGTTTCATACAGACTGCAACAACAGACTTAGACTTAGAGACTCCAAAGTGTTTCATACAGACTGCAACAACAGACTTAGACTTAGAGACTCCAAAGTGTTTCATACAGACTGCAACAACAGACTTTGAAAGATTAACCTGCTGATGCATATACTATGCATGTCAATTGGTAAAGACTTTTCTAAGAATAACAAGGAGCTTGTGATAACACACAACAAACCAGCTGATACATGACGGGACAATTTGTCAGAACTGTAGTGGGAATAACAAGGATGTTAAACATGCTGCAGATCACATACCACAAACTTTCTGGATCCAAATCTGCGCTCAAAGATCCTGAAGTAATAGACCAGCATGCAGCACACAAACAGATCCTTGAGATCTAGGAAGGCCACACGAGAAGAGAGGAGCCGCCATATCTGCAACATAACACTCAGCACTGGAAAATTTGGCATTTGTTTTACAGGTACAATGTGGTGTTGCATCTTACCTGGTGTTTCTCCAGCATCACCTGTGGGTTGTACAGGTACACTGTGGTGTTGCGTCTTACCTGGTGTTTCTCCAGCAGTACCTGTGGGTTTTACAGGTACACTGTGATGGTGTGTCTTACCTGGTGTTTCTCCAGCATCACCTGTGGGTTGTACAGGTACACTGTGGTGTTGCGTCTTACCTGGTGTTTCTCCAGCATCACCTGTGGGTCAGAATTTTACCTTTCCAGCATCACCTACAGGTACACTGTGGTGCTCGCGGCGTACCTTACCTGGTGTTTTACTCCAGCATCACTTACCTGAATTGTTTTACAGGTACACTGTGATGTGCGTCTTACCTGGTGTTTCTCCAGCATCACCTGTGGGTTGTACCTGGTGTTTCTCCAGCATCACCTGTGGGTTGTACAGGTACACTGTGGTGTTGCGTCTTACCTGGTGTTTCTCCAGCATCACCTGTGGGTTTTACAGGTACACTGTGGTGCTGCGTCTTACCTGGTGTTTCTCCAGCATCACCTGTAGGTTGTACAGGTACACTGTGGTGTCTGCGTCTTACCTGGTGTTTACCCAGCATCACCTGTGGGTTTTCTCCAGCATCTTACCTGGTGTTTCTCCAGCACCTGTGGGTTGTACAGGTACACTGTGGTGTGCTCGCGTCTTACCTGGTGTTTCTCCAGCATCACCTGTGGGTTTTACAGGTACACTGTGATGGTGTGTCTTACCTGGTGTTTCTCCAGCATCACCAGGAGTAGCTGTGGGTTGGGTCTTACCTGGTGTTTACAGGTACACTGTGGTGGTGTGTCTTTCCTGGTGTTTCTCCAGCATCACCTGTGGGTTGTACAGGTACACTGTGGTGTTGCGTCTTACCTGGTGTTTCTCCAGCATCACCTGTGGGTTGTACAGGTACACTGTGGTGTTGCGTCTTACCTGGTGTTTCTCCAGCATCACCTGTGGGTGCGCCTTACCAGTTTCTCCACACTGTGGTGTTGTGATGGTGTGTCTTACCTGGTGTTTCTCCAGGAGTAGCTGTGGGTTGTACAGGTACACTGTGATGGTGTGGTGTGTCTTACCTGGTGTTTCTCCAGGAGTAGCTGTGGGTTGTACAGGTGTTGCGTCTTACCTGGTGTTTCTCCAGGAGTAGCTGTGGGTTGTACAGGTACACTGTGATGGTGTGTCTTACCTGGTGTTTCTCCAGGAGTAGCTGTGGGTTGTACAGGTACACTGTGATGGTGTGTCTTACCTGGTGTTTCTCCAGCATCACCTGTGGGTTTTACAGGTACACTGTGGTGTTGCGTCTTACCTGGTGTTTCTCCAGGAGTAGCTGTGGGTTGTACAGGAGGTAGCTCTTGTAATGCTGTAGTGGGAAGGAGAAGGCAAAGGAAGTAGCCAAGGACAGCCACACAATGCCCTTACTCACTGGAGCTTTGTCTGGAAACACAGATTTGTACTCAATAAGCACATGACCACTGGTGTGCCATGAATAACATTTATCCTGTTTATGCCCGCCGCCTGTGATGTATGTGTTTAATTGTGTGTCTTGGATACACAGTAGTGTTGGGAATTGGTTCAAATCCCATAATTGATGATTGGTTCATTACAACTGATCAATCATCAAAAATAATTGGTTAGCGTCATTTATCAAAGTTTCCTGGTTATGTTTGTTAATGCACAAAAAATAAAGACAAAACATTTAGTTCTTTCGGATTTTTGCAAATTTCACATCTTTAAAGCATGACCAGTATGATAGGAACATAAATTTTCTGGAGTCTTTAAGATAAATTCAATCATGACTTGGAACTAGCTTGTAGTGCTTATGAAATGTAACGGACAAAACCAACCTTGTGATAAGTATTATTAATGCAAACTAATGTTCCAAAATTGCTTGTGTTCAATTATGAGAAAACATGATCGATTGCTTGGTCATGTTGTCATTGCGACTAATCTCGACTAATCTTCGATTATTTCAATTAATCATGGATCACCACTAATACACAGCAGTGGTTTCACTCAATTTCTCATGTCATGGAAATTATTCAATCCATGAATAGCTTCAAATTCCCCAGCGATGTTATATCTCACAGCCTTGTAATGATCTATACAATTAGCATAACCCTAGTGAGCATGGTCACAAATTTAAAGGGTCCGCCCCCGTGGTGTAGTTTCACTTCACCTCACCTCACAATTGTCAAGGGTCCGTAGAGATAATATGCATGTAAAGTAATAGTATCATGGCAGCATGGTGCACTGGAAGATTAAAAAAATACTTCCACAACAGCAACTTTATTTTTCTTCAATTTGGAACACTGCATGTCCCTCGAGACTACAATATATACTGAAGGAAAAAAATGAGTGATCGCATGAAAGCACAAGTGTTCCTATATTTTTTTCCCAGGTTTCTTCCCAAGCTCTGTTTCTCACAACTTTTGAAGAAACTTGGAAACAATAAAGGAACACTTGTGCTTTCATGCGATCCCTTATCTTTTGCCCTCAGTATATATATTTCATCTGTGTCCCTTCTATTCATTATCCATACTTTACACACATAAAACTATACACGCACTCGGAGGTCAAGCTATCAAGGAATGATCAGATGAGTTGCAAAAACCAGGGACCATAGGATTAAATATGCATATGATACCCACATATGTTATCATTGTCAACCAACTAAAGTTTGTTTGTTTTTAACAAACATGGAAATCATGATAGATAAATCAAACCTACAGCTGTTTATTGGTCCTCTTGCTTAGACAGCATTTATGTATATGCATACTGACCGCTATCATCCAATGAGTGCCTACCATCATACTTCATTAGTGTTAATTATGATATTTGTATTTGCTGTTGCACTGAAAGAATCACGCCAGTTTCTTATCTTATGCTACTTTGGGGGATTTTTTCTTCTATATGAGACAGGCAATAATAAGGCACTGTTTTCACAAGCCATTCTGTTGGTATGTGCGTAAACACACATGAGAAACAATGCTCAGGTACAATCATCAGTCACTCAGTAAGTGAGTGGGTATGGTTTTACACTGCCTTTTGCAATATTCAATATCACGCACGGAATACCAGAAATGCATTTCACACATTGTGAGCAATCAAACCTTGACAAGTACGAATCAGGGTGGGGAAATGGTAAGGAAAGAATAGGCTCATTTGGCCATTTATGATTTAATATTTAGACTCAGTATAGCAAACAACATGTAATGAATTTCTTTTAATCTTACTATTTTCTAAAATAGGATTAGAACTACTGCAACAACATGTAATGAATTTCTTTTAATCTTACTATTTTCTAAAAGTTTGGCCCTTTTTGACTTAAAGGGGCACTGATGCGAAGTGATTTTTGCTCCGAGCTAACGTGTTAATTGTCGTGTTCGGCTGCCGCGCGGGCAGTGCTTGCTCTCTAGACCGTGACAAACACCGGGACTGGGCAGCTGACCACCTTGGCAGACTTGTCATTCGAGCCGTCGCGACGGGGAAATCCCCTTTCTGTTTTCTGAACGCTGATTGGTTCGTTGCACCCTTATCTACCCAGACCACAAACATGGACGACAATCAACATGGCTAGTTCACAGGATATCGTATGCAGATGCAAAAACACTTGTACTCGTGTATCGAAGAGAGGAACATGTCCGTGTCGCGCCGCCGGGAAACTGTGTTCAAGTTTGTGCTCATGCGGATGGATGGTACCATGCGTCAACAAACCCGATTGCCAGCCCCCCGAAGTTGAAGTCGATCGACGTGGACTTCAGGGATTTCACCGATCGTGATGTCATCAGCACGGCACGAGACGTACGTTATATGTTGTTTCTTGTATATATATATATATTCACATGATGCAAGGTTATGCACACACAGGTATTCGTATTAGTTCACCTAAACGTCGAAAAGCATTATTTATGTCACTTATCTTCATGCCAATTGAAAATTAGAAATTCGATGACACTAATAATTTCATAATGATATTCATCATATATATTCTCTTTTCTGTTTATACTGTGAAATATAGTTGTTTAACCAAACATAAATATTTGTTTTGCCAAAAGGTTCTTGCAAAATGTGATTGCTACAACATTCCACTTGCTGATAATCACTAGATTACCTGTTTGACGATACACACTTTCTGGTGGAAGGAAGCGTGTTATTATTTTAACTATCTAACAAATGTAATTGCAGGATATGGATGGTGACATCAACCACACCCCTCCTCAACACAACCCCACCAAGAAGAGAAAGAGGAAGACTGCAGATGGTAGCCGGGTGCTTAAGAAGGCTCAATGTCGACCAGGTTCCAGTGGAGGTAATATTTATTTAGATGAATGTTCATGCTCGCATATATGCCACTTAAATATTAATTAGTAATATCTATGTGTATTTATAAAATCATAATCCTTTGTACTGCAATATCTGGATAACTAAGAAATGGTATTTTTCAGTATTTTCACAGGCTGACAGCACAGATGACCTGGAAGCTGCATCGACAACATGCATCAATGACCTGGAAGCTGCATCGACAACAAACACAAGCTCATCATCCTGTCCACCAAAAGTCCCATCAGCACACCATAAGGCAGTCAAGGTACCTTTTTTTCAACAATGAATATGAAGTATTGTTCGTTCATCTAAATGGATTCTGGATTGTTATTTCCAATTAGTATTTTGTACATATTCCAGATAAAATGTCAAATCTTTCCAAGTAGAAGTACAATTATTTTATATGTGTTTGCACTTCACAGAAAATTTAGATGTCACATTGCTATAGCACACGATTTATAACATTTACACATACTTCTCTTCTTCATTTTCTATTTCATATTCGTGATGATATGCAATGGCATCTAAAAGGCAAATATATTTTGTGGCCTTTAATTTAATATTCCTTAATATTTTTCCTGAAAATATTGAAAGTATGGCTTTATATTGTTTAAAATCAATTCATATGATGTATATTTCAAAATAAGAAAAACACATTGGTGGATTATTGCAATTGGTTTTGCCTTACCAAAAGAAAAATATTTTCATGAGAGAGGTTGATATTGCCTTCGGATATAATGTTCAGCCAACAAGACACCTCCCTGTTCACAGTATATGGACATTCACATATTTACATGTATTACTGTATCAAGTGTTGGTTCATGAAAATTTTGAGTGATCATAAAATCCAACCATCTTAACTGAATGCTCAAAATCAGTTGTTTGGTATAATTTTGCTTGTCTCTAATTCTATATCTCTATTCCAGGATTTTGCGGCTTCATTAGATGTGACAGAGCTCAGGAGTATAGTGACTGAACTTTTATTTCGGGACCAGGGGCTTTTGACGACTTCCGCCTGGGATACAGGCCCTGTGATGATCCACCAAGGCAGCCCCAACCAGACAACACACCAAGCTGGTGCAGATGTGGCAATTGTAGAAGCATGCCAACAGCAAGAAGAGAAGTGCTGCTGGCAGACTGGCTCCTCACGAGTGTGTTGTGGATGGACCAAACTTTATACGGTGATCTCCCCAGCGTGCTAGACATTGCAATGGCACATTATAACGACTTCTTTGTACATGACCAAGAGCTAAGTAATGCAGCATACAGACACCAGGCGCACAGACAGTTTATCCTACAACGGTATGGTCGACTGGGTCATGGCAATAGACGTGTTGTGCCATCATGCGTTGTACTAGCAATCCGGAGGAGATTTCCAGATCCCACAGGCAGCTACACCGGCTACAAGGAAGCCTAACAAGCCAGTACATTATGTTTTGTATATATTTTGTATATATTTGTACATATTTTGTAAATATATTGTAAATATGTTGTACATATCTGTATATATTTGCCACATGAATTGATTCTTAAATATAATATTTGTTGAAAGTTGCTGATACTTTCTTTGTTGAAACCAGCTCATGATATCTTACCAAACCATAAATACAAATAACTGGAGCTGTTGTCTTGACTGCCACATACCTCATGAGTAATTACAGAGAAAAAGGATGTAAACTCATAAATCACACTTGAGCGCACCTTTGTAAATTCATTAGGTATGTTACATAAACCATGTCACTTTTATGGGTGTACTGTCAAAACAAACATGTAACGACTGATACACATACCACCACTTGAAATCTCAAATCTTCACACATGTGTATTCATTAGGTACGACACTTTTATGGGTGTACTGCCAAAACATGTACATGACAACAGTAAATAAACAAACAAGAGTACACTTATTGGTCTCAGTAGCGATTCAAACTTTATTACATAGAAACACTTAGACAAGGGGATGAAAATGTGGTCATCCTGTTTCCTTCTGTACACACCTCTACACCCATGACTACAGAAAACAGTACAATACTACAGAACAAATGTTTTACCAGTTTTTCTGCGTTTGACACATTCTTTGTACACAATTATTACATCTCCTTCCCTTGTGCTTGTATATACATATTTAGATATGTGGTTTCCTGTACACCAGTATAAATATACTGTACTGACGAAGGGGCAAGAAGCAGCCCAGAACATTTACTTGTTATCCATTTGTCTTACTATGACACATACTATGTGATTTGGAGAGAAATATTAGGTAGACAACTTGAATGTATGGATAATGCCCAATTGATGTAGACAAAATGTAAATTTGAATACTTCCAATATCTGATTTGTCAGAATAACTTAACAACCAATGCTTATTTACATACGAAAAGAATCACTATTATGTACATTTTTCAAACAAACATTAGAGTCTGTATGCCACCTACCGTTTGAATGCAGTCGAAGATCTAAAAAAATAAGAACCTTCTTGTCTCATTGTAAAGAGGAAAATTTCAAAAGTGAGATAAAAAGATACTACAAATTACGTAAATACATGGTGACAAAGCTAATTGTTGTACATTTTGGTCATCTCTGTGTGCTCTCCAAACTCAATAATATGTAGTATGAAGATTGGGTTACCTAGACCCTTTGTGGTCCCACGAGGAAAAACTAAATGATGGTGTACTATTGTTACTTGTAGCATCTGTTAAAATATGTACCTTTTGGAAATTAAAACATCATACAAAACAAATATATAACAAAAACACTCTGGACAACCGTTTATAACACAAGGTGGATGGACCAATGACAATTGTTAATGACTGTAAATATGACTGTCTGGGTGTGGAACTGGATGCAGTTCAGCTCCTCACTTCTTGAATCGTGTGACACACTGACTCACAAGCTCTGCGATTGGGGGACAGGGTCTCTTTGCAATTGTTGACGATATACGCCTCGGATCATCATCGGTCATTGGTGTTTTTCTTTTCAGACCTCCAGTCTCCTCGTTTTGTCGCTTCTGGAAAGCCAACATTTGTAGGTCCCATCTGTAGGAATAGTTCTTCTCTACTTTGGCAGTCTTTGGTCTCCAGCGCTGGGTCCTCTTACTGTACACACCTGTGTATCTGCAATGAAATAATAACAAAAGTAAGGCAATATGTTGGCCCAGTTGGTCAATGTGTAACATATTTCATAACAAAAACTAGGTGCCCTCTGCACACCTGATAGGGAGAAAGACTGCCCTGTCTTATATGAACATATAAATCAGTTAGTCTGCTACGTAGTCTTATTATCATGCTTACATTGTTTCTCCGTCACTCGTTCTCTGATCCGGTCGATGCAGATGGTGGTTGTGATCAATTGCTGCCAATTGGTTCCTTGCACGGTAGCCCGTAAACCTGAAAGATAGTTTAGATAGTGAGATACATGTATAACAAGTGTAGAAGTGATCACAGCTTACATACTACAGCTTCCCAAAGGAGAAAGAATTATATAATGTGGACAAATGTAAAACAATGAGAAACTTTTCTTCTAAAAATATCAAACGCTAATGTCACATTTGGACATGTCAATACAAAATAGCAACAACAATGTAATTGTAGCCATTAGATAGGAACACAGATTAGGAAGAATCACATATGCTTTTCAAAACAGTGCCAGTATTTCCTTTCAAGTCAGATCAATACAATTTTGGGATCACGAAAATGCAATAATTATATATAAAAACACTAGAAAGCTAGTCAATTTGGACAGGCTTACTGACAATACAACAATTAGATTTCTAAACAAACAGCCACATTGACCCTTTCACCTGGTAATGGGGAAGCTGGAGACGTATAAACACAGTCGTACTTATGTAAACATGTCAGTTTTGTTATTGTAACTCTTGTGCAACATAAGATGAAAATAACAAACAATTTCATGAGGCACTTTCTATGCTATCACTTAACCAAGAAATAATTTTTCAATATACACACCGATTGTACCACATATAACATTATAAAGACAAACATTTACGTACCAACTCGAAATGTTCCGGGAGTGTCAACTTGATCACAAACTGGAGTACTGAAATCAGGTCCAGGCGTGATAGGAAGCGGCGGTGTTCCCGATGTTGATATCGACCAAGTCAGTTCATGATGATCAGTATCCCTTGTTTGAACGCTGAATAAATGTCATAGTACGAATAAGAAAACAAAAAAAGAATAAAATCAGGACAATGCGATCAGGTATAGAGAAGGCGTCTACTTCGTTCACAATTTCACACACGGTAAATCCAACCGTGATCAAGTTAGCGCATAAAGTAAATAACAAATCTACACAACATTTATCAACTCTTACGTGATCAAAAGTAGAAAAAACTTACTTGCTGCAGTCGCAGAATTGGTCGTGAACATCGAGCAGATGTTTGATGACATCGCTCTTGCTTGACTCCGTGTTTTCCCTCAAGCTGTTGAATCTGTCAAAGTGCACTCCTAAACAGATTCGAGACTGGTTCCTCCTCTTTCTTTCTTCCTGTATTCTTCGTTTCTTTGCCGATTCTGCCGTACGTCCTCGACCCATAGCCAGAGCAAAAGTAAAACCATTTCGCCGGGTGACAGGCTTTCTTTTATAAATAAGCCGGGAGTGATCACGCCAAGTAGCGCTGCTAGTTACCCCCGCTAGGTGGCGCTGCTCTATTTACGAAATAAGTGCGTTCACGAGTGGCGCAGCAGAGGTCACAATCCAGTCAAGAATTCTGGGATATCATCCGGGCACTCGCGGGAGGAAAACAATAACAAAGGGAACAACCCGTCCACGCAAAGTGCTACGCATCAGTGCCCCTTTAAGTCTATGGCCCTTTTGTCTTTCTGTTGGCCCTTTTGACTTCAACCCTTAAAGAAGCATGTGTCAAGGCTCTGTCAGTTACGTGACACAAATATCCTATGACATTGACCTTGTTTCGAACCTCGGAATTCCTCTAGTTACCAAATAAAACCGTTCATTCGTTTTTCACTTACAGAATCCCGAAGACCCGTAAACTGATAGCATTTGGAGACAGTTGTTCTTTTCTACGATCAGATTTCTCTGTATCCCAAATCTAAACACGGAAGCGGAAACAACTTGCCCCGGTGCTCGCGCAATAGCAAAACATTTCGGTGATGTCATTTAAATCGCTTACGGCATTGATTTGCATAATCTCTAAATATGAAACAGACACTGGCCAGAGGATCAATAACTGAAAGGTTTGGGTTGTCTTAAGTGATTGTTAGTTCTGTTCAAACGGTATATCGCCTTTGAACGATTATCATCATTATTCTTTGCTTGAGCGATACGTAATGTAAGGGAGATAACTATGTCTAAATGATATTTGCAATACAACATATTACACAATGTAACAAGTCTCCGCTGATAGTTTGGACGTTTCAGTATTTCAGTTGTGCCAGGATAAGTAAATTAATTAGCAGTAGTTCAACTAAGTTAGTTATGAATATACCCCCAAAAGAATATTATTTGGAAGTTATAGAAGAGATTCATAAAATATTGGACACACACACACAAAAATATTGCAATTTGCGCCTCCTCTTTTAAGCTAGAAGAACCCTTCGTTGAAATCTGTCGCCATCAGCAGTAGAAACGTTATACTAGTCTGCACACAATTCACTATTTGCAAACATTCATTGTGCAACTACAGAATGTTTAAACTGACAAATGACGCAAATGAAGGTAACATCATAGAAACGGGTCAATCTGTGCTCAAAGAGGTTCGGACCCAAACGTCTTGGGCGGATAATACGAGCAGTGACTTGATGACGTCATCAGCTACTTACATATGTTGTGAATCATCCTCGAAGTCTGACAAGGAGTGAGATGGTTTTGGTGAAACACATCGTTGAATTTGTTTTTAATTCATGAATCAGAATAAGTTCAACCACGAATCCGTTGTCCAAATATTATACAAATTAATTAAAATATCCCCAGTTCATTCTCTTGAAATGTAAACAGACAGATTAATGATAAAAGAACCGCCTTGTCTAAACGAAAAAACTGGGGGTGGCTGTTTTGTTTTTCTTAATTGCTACATACAGAATCTGGATTTGAAGTAGGTTGTTCTTCTCAGAATCTCTCATGCATTTTAACTGTGAGGAGTTCATATTTATCTCCATGTCCATTATTTAAAACAGTGCTCTCAAATATAGTGGTTCGTATTTCTCAAATGGGTAAATGACGATTGGGAAAACATCATCACAAAATACAAAATTTCACACTCGTTTCGTATAAGTCGTATGAAACATTTGCTCGTGTAATAATCTCTGTACATCAATCAAAGTTCGGTGTTATCGATAGGTACACACAACAAAAACACCAATAATAATATGTGTTAAAATTATACAACCAGCCGCTTCATTTTGTTAAACGATATAGCATAAATAGCAGTGATTTAAATAACAATAATATTATTTGTAATGAGATATCCTGTAGTAGTCATAACTTTAAATGCCGTTAGTTATTTAACATTCCTTTTACAGTTTCTCGCTGCCAATGAGTATGTGAATTAGTCGTAACGTATATACGACAAATTTATTTGAGTTACTCCCCCCTTGATGATTTGTCAACATATGCCAAACTAAAAACATTTTCTGGTTTTGTTATCAAATGGAAACATTTGACAGGATATAATCTGCGAAGTGAGTGTGACACCAATGAAGATATGCGCGATATGAATAGAATGAATTCGATCGGTGCGGATGAGGATGCTGACGTGTTTGAAATTACTGACTTTACAACTGCGTCAGATTGGGAGAGGTTCATCGCTCGCTTTGAAGAAATCATCCACGAATGGAAGTTAGCCAATCGACCGCCTCTACCCCCAGCGCCAAAAGACGAGTATTCAAATGGAGCCTGGGATGAACGATCTGAAGAATTACAGTTTGCTGATTTTAATTTCAAGATTACTCATAAATTTCTGAAATCCTGCGTTGTGACGACTGAAGGTAGAACTTCTGAGGAGAAGGACGGAGGTCAGGAGACGGACGACATTGAAGATTTTGATGAGAAAACACCAACAGTGTATTCAGATTTAATGAACCTTGACAATGATTTTCCTTCTCGTGCCCACCCACTGTGTAGATGGTATGGACTCCAGGAATTCCTGACTTTATCTCCTGCAGCTAACAATGAGATTATTGACTCTGAAAGTAGAAGCAAGCTCCTTCTCAGCTCTGCCTCCATTGCAATGAGCAACACAGCCTGCAGTGTGCCAGTGTTTGTACAGCAGTCACACAACTGGAGGAAACTGTACTGTGGAACATGTGTCGTTCCTGGAGCAAATGTTGAGTTTGAAATGGTTCATCTGAAAAAGATTCCCTCCCAATACGACCATCTAGCTGGTCTTATAGATGTGTTCAAATCTAAATTAGGGTGTGTGTACATCTCTATGCCTCCAGTCTCAGTATCTGTGAGGTTCACATACATCTTAACTGATTGGTCATGTACAGCCTGGCCACAGGCGCCTCCAGACTTGTCATCATTGATGGAAGATGAAGTTGGCTGCAGTGATTTTGGTAACCTTCCATTTGGAGCATGTGAGGATCCAGTGAGTGACCTACATTTGTCCTGCACCTGGCCAAGTCTCTCAGAGGATATGATTGTGGAGAACCATGTTTATTCAGATCTTGACCCCCTTCAAGCGCCTCAGTGGTCTGTTCGAATCAACATGGTCGATGATCCACTGTGTCTTCTTGGGGATTATATCAGAGAATTCCTTACCCTCACTGAGAGAAAAGAAACAACTGATGAACTCCTTGGAAACCTAGTACCTGAGGAGGGGGACAATGCAGACCTAAGCCAGGCACTGCAACGTTTGACTGAACCCAACATGCCATATGCCATGCCTTCCATTGGATCTGTTGTATCGACTGCTACAACAAGACTGAAAATAAAACCAGAAGAAGCACCAATTGCTTCAGACATGCTAAACCAAATATTATTATTTCTGTTTCCTGATGCCAAGGGGCCGAAATGTGAAGGGGAGGATGAAAATGGAGATGAAGAAGTTAAAGAAAAAACAGCAAGGTATACAGATGTTTTGGCAGAGCTAAAGAAACAGATGAAAACCGCACCTCTTGATAGTTTAACCCATCGCTTGGCTGTGTGTTTTGCTATTGTTAACCACAATTATGGTGGTTTAAGAGCTGTTGCACACTTGTGGCAAGAGTTTGTCTTAGAGATGAGATTTCGTTGGGAGAATAATCACTTTGTATCAGGAGTGGAAAAGTGTCAACCCAATCTTGGAGCTTGCCTTCTGCACCAGAAGCTTCAGATGCTGAACTGCTGCATAGAGAGGAAGATGAAGAGAGAGTCACTGGGCTACGGATATGGTTCAGAATACGACAATTCTGATAGAGTTTCCCCTGATAGTCCTGGTGATCCTTTCAGCCGAATGTCAGACAAACAAGACTCCTCCCAAGCTGAAGGACAAGTTGATCAGGTAAACAGCGAACGTATTGGCAGTATAGGAAGTGTAAGTGATGATGAATTCTACGACTGTGATGAGGATGATGAAGAGGATGCAGATGGCGCTTCAGTTCCAAAGGAGAAGACAAAGGTTGACCGAAAGAATAGCAGGAACAGGGACAGCTCAGAAGACAGAGCCAAGCTGGAGGAAAGTATTGAGTCGGCATCTGTTGCCAGTGAATCATCCTTTAAAGACAGCTTTTCTCATAAACCTGACGGTAGACTTGCACCTTTTAAGAACATGAAACTGCTGGGATCTAGTGAGCAGATGTTTGTCCCCATCACGCAAGAACCATCACCTATGACAGAAGACATGCTTGAAGAACATGCTGATGTCCTCTCAAAGCTTGGATCATCTCAAGAAAGCACGCAGCTGCGTGCAAGAATGCAGAGTGCATGTCTTCTCTCTGATATGGAGTCTTTCAAAGCTGCTAATCCTGGTTGCACACTAGAAGATTTTGTTCGATGGTACTCCCCACGTGATTACATTGAGGATGAAGTCGAAACTGAAGATGGTAAGAAGGAAATAAAAGGCTGCCTTAGTCAAAGAATGCAAATTCCTGGAAACATGTGGGTGGAAGTATGGCAGAGTGCAAGACCCGTTCCTGCCAGACGACAAAGACGGTTATTTGACGATACTAGAGAAGCTGAAAAGGTCCTCCATTGGCTTAGCTCCATGAAGCCTGCAACTGTTGTGTTTAACTTAATGCCAATGTTAACACATGCTGCTATAGTAAAGGTCCTTGATAATGAAGATGCCGATGTGCCTGCTGTGAAGACTCTAGTTGACCAGATAGTGTCCAAGGGGGCCAAACTGACTCGAAACCCTATGGCTGATGTCAGGAAGTATGAACATTTGGTCAGACTCATTGAAATGGCAGAAACCCTGATTGCAAGAACAGTGTCCCTGAGATCCAAATTTTCTGAAGACCTCCTAGAACAACGAGGTGCTGAGAGTGAACTCCATCACTTTGTGTCCTGTCTTCATCAACATCCTGAGGTTACAGTTCGAGGTGGTCCTTGTGGTCCTGTAGGAGCCATCATCCACAAACTGTTTGTCCAGTCACAGAAGGCTTCCTACATGTTGCTAGATGAGGATGAGGAGCCGACCGAAGAAGTGGAGAGAGATGCACATAAACCTGCCAGCACTGTCCCAGATTTCCCACGAGCAACAGCCCGGGAATACATACTGAGAGCTATGGTACCAAGGCCTGCTCCTTATTCAAGGGTGCTACCACAAAAGATGTTCTGTGTTCTGGTAGAAAATGACCACTTTAGGTTAGCAGGAGCATTTTCTTCTGATACAACTTTCCAGTGATATTTTTGCTGTTCACTCAATAACAAACTTAAATGAGAAGAAATGTGTCATCAGGTTTTAATTCGGATCAGAATAGTGAACATGGATACCAGGTCCTTCGCTGATACCAAGGTTGTTGGGTGTTATTTATTTGAATGGGTGTGCCAGTTGCTTTAACATTTTTGTCTTATCCAATGACATATGATCTGCATGTAATCTATGCTTTACCAGTGTAGACGTTCTAGATGCAGTTGTTTGTATTTATTTATGTTCTGGAGATATTTGAATAGAGCTATCACAAACGTTCATAAAATAATGCAAGGCATAGTTTGTCATGATTCTATTCATCTTTGAAATTTTAATGGAAGTCATTCATTCTTTGCCATCGTTAGCCATATTGGGAACAGTTTCTATGGGTTAGGTCATCCATACTTTTGTATGTGTTTCTTATCTCCAGCGTCAGTGGCATGAGCTCAGTCAGCCAGAAAAAAATATGTTTTAATGTCTAATTGTGTAAGTTTTTTTATGACATTTCATAGCTGGAGCACTTGGTATCAGTCCCTAAGTTGACTTATAACTTAACAAGTACTTTTTAATAACTTTAACAGAAAAAAAGATATAGATGTCCTGCTTTTTTGTATGAAAGTGCAATGGTGTGAGTTTTTTTATCACATTGGGGCATAAATTTCCACATAACTTTCTAATTGAGAATTTCAAATTAAATCAGAATTTTATCATCATCAGAAGGCAAATCTGTTCATGTAAAATGAGGCATGTTTTTAACATATCTGTCGTCATTGAGGAAGAATCTGGTTTCTTCTGGCAACTAATTTCACATTGTTATGATGCTTTTCACTATTTGCACTGTCCATACTCTGCCTGTCATTACAATACTATGCGTACGGGCCGGATTGAGATATTATGTTTTATTGCATTGGAATGAAAATTCCAGGCTAGCAGGAGATTGGAAATACAGAGATAAAATAGGGACAGCCTCAGATACACAAAAAACTTAATTAAGCATCCCTGTATTTTTGCTATGGTAGGTTTTCAACACGTACATAAAATTTCTCGTGGTGACCAGATGGAAAAACATGAGTTTTTTCTGACGCTTATCCATGTTGATTTTATTATGAAAATTGTTCATTTTAATATACACTGATTTTCATACAAAACCATGTCTGTACAAATATTGCCCTAGAATGTTTAATGTTGAATTTATTGGTGAATGTGCACATTCAAAATGTCATTTGCATGTCTTACACGATTCAAGGTCAATGCCGAGTGTTACCTCCATGTGACTGTATGACAGCCAGTCTCCTCCTCATACCCCCTGTCAGCCTCCTGATCCTCTGAAGGGGCAGTCTACGCTATTCCTATAGTTTGGCATGAAATGCATGTGGACCCGTTTTTTTTGTAAATATCTCTTCATCTAATGACCCAATCGATCTCAAACTGTGCAAGTGGATGTTTTGTCAGACAACCTAATCACATTGTAAATCACCGATTTTATGCATTTGTATTAAAGAATCTGTCTATGTAACGTCAACAAAATAAACAGCAGAACGCAGACGACTTGCAGAGGGAGGGACCCAATGACCTGTAACAGCGGCAGTGTTGGGTCATAAAGGTCAACGTTCGTCAATGTAGGTCAGCTATGCACGTGACAGGTATGAAGAGGTGTTCATTTCTAGCAACTAGTCGGCAAACGCCATCTCTGATGACCCTGATTTCAAAAGAATCTTAACTTTGGATACCTACCTTTTGTACAAGGTTTTGTTTATTGGTTGTTGGTTTATTTTTCACAATTTTTTTAGCACGATGTTCTTTTTCATGCCAAGAGCAAAAGTTGCACGCTTCATGTAATCCGACACCTTACAAATCGGTTTGCTCACGTTTGCTCTCTTTTTAAAAAAAATTCAACACATTTCTAATTAAACATGTAGCATCATCTGAATAAGCTTCCATGATGACAGCTAGAAGTAGTCAATGTGAATGATCCAAACGGTCTATCACTGTGCAGTGCACAGGTAACTATCATGAACTGCATGTGCATTTACCTTTATGACCGTACACTGCGCTGTTACAGGTCATTGGCTCCCTCCCTCTGCAAGCATTCTGCGCTCTGCTGTTTATTTTGTTGACAGTTACATAGACAGATTCTTTAATACAAATGCATAAAATTGGTGATTTACAATGTGATTAGGTTGTCTGACAAAACACATACTTGCACAGTTTGAGATCGATTGGGTCATTGGATGAAGAGATATTTACAAAAAGCGGGTCCACATGCATTTCATTAGTGTAAAGCAGCTTCCAACTGGGAGAGGTTCTGTACGGGAGGATCCTTTGTTGCACAATCATGTCCCAGATATGCTCCAAAGGGTTAAGATTGGGGTTCATTCAATCCTGAGATGTCAGAGGGTGCCTAACTAAGTTCTTCGTGTATATTTAGGATGTGTAAATGAACAGACAACTACAGATTAATTTACAGTTTCATATTGTATATGATGACTTGCATAATAAAAACCTAAACCTGCTAAAGGCTTATCTGGTTATTGTGGCAGAAACCATGTTCTGTGGAATGCCTAATTGCAGCCTTACCTTGTAAAGAAGAATATGTGGTATTGTTTTGTCATAATGCAGTCCCTGTGTAAATCACTAAATGAGCATGGTTTACAGGCATGTCAAAACCATGCAGCCCTTTGGGCACCTCAGGACTATCCAGACAAACATATGTTTTATATCAAGTATGTCTACTATGTCAAGTATATATTCCATGTCAAGTATATATTTTATACCAACTAGGGGCGATGGGGTAGCCTAGTGGTTAAAGTGTCCTGCTCGTCTCGTGGAAGACCCGGGTTCGATTCCCCACATGGGTTCAATATGTGAAGCCCATTTTATGGTGTCCCCTCTCGTGATATTGCTGGAATGTTTCTAAAAGCGTAATATCTAAAATCATTCACTCAATATATCAAGTATATCTTTTTTATAAAGTGTATCTTCTAGTTGACCCACACAGAGTGTATGGAGGCATGTCAAGGATAAAGGTCCCTGAAAAGAGTGTGTTTATCTACTTTAGAATCATTTACTCTTGGTCAGTGGAACTTGATACATGTTAGGTGGAGCCCTGACTGAAAGCATATTGAAGGTTATTGTAAAGTTTGCAAACTTTTCACTAAAATACGTTTTCCTGCAAATGTGCATTATAAGGCAAAACCCATTTCTGGTGTCCCCAGGCGTGATGTTGCAGGAATATTGCTGAAAGCTGCATAAAACTAAACTCACTCACTATAAGGCAAAACAATATGCTTGTTTTCGGTTATCTGACAAATATGATATACAACTGATTGGTTGACTCTGTTGAACCTGGTCTATAACAAATAGCATGTATTTATCAATGTACAATTGGTGGTGTATAAAGAAAGTTTTCCAGAGCCAGTCATTTGTGAAAGTGGAGAAACTAATACTAGACAGTATTCATAATCTTGTGTGCTGAGATCATCTGTAGACTTCTTTCTTTGACAAAAACTGTTTGTTTTTCTGACGGAGATCTCTCTTAAGATTATGTAAATGAAAATGACACGCCATTCATGATTGGAAGATGGACAGTATCAGCTGTTATTATACATTTAATCAACCTAAAAAGGTTGAAAAAACCCACCTACCCTATTTTCAAATTGAGTGTAAAAGAAAACACATATTTCCCATGGGTCCTCATGCAAACTATGATTTCTTCTTGCACTGGATATTCAGTATGATTATATGGATATTTGTGAACCTGTAGAAGGCTGTTAAAGGGAGTTCTGCATCTTAGATCCACTTCACTTCTTCAAGATGGCATCAGAAGTAGTGTTGTTGTTATTGTGATTTATTTGTGGCTCAATAGTGATATTATGCTTGTATGTTGAGATTGTTAGCAAGAGTTATAATAACTTTGATTTTGGTTCAATGTGGAGATTGTTATTCTAAGGCCCTTGGATTTAGCCAGTTGGTTGGTTCAGTTCAGGCCCTTGGATTTGTGATCTGGTTGGTTTTCAATCAGGCCCTTGGATTTATGAGTCAGTTGGTTGATTTTCAGGCCCTTGGATTTATGATTGGTTGGCTGGTTCAAGGCCCAGGCCCTTGGATTTGTGATTCAGGCCCTTGGATTTATGATTGGTTGGGTTCAATTCAGGCCCTTGGATTTATGATCCAGTTGGTTGGTTCAATTCAGGCCCTTGGATTTGTGATCCAGTTGGTTGGTTCAATCCAGGCCCTTGGATTTATGAGCCAGTTGGTTGGTTCAATTCAGGCCCTTGGATTTATGATCTGGTTGGTTGGTTCAATCCAGGCCCTTGGATTTATGAGCCAGTTGGTTGGTTCAATCAGGCCCTTGGTTCAATTCAGGCCCTTGGATTTGTAGATCTGGTTGGTTGGTTCAATCCAGGCCCTTGGATTTATGAGCCAGTTGGTTGGTTCAATCCAGGCCCTTGGATTTGTGATCTGGTTGGTTGGTTGGAGTTGGTTGGTTTTCATGGATTTGTGATCTCAGTTGGTTGGTTCAATCCAGGCCCTTGGATTTATGATCCAGTTGGTTGGTTGGTTCAATCCAGGCCCTTGGATTTATGAGCCAGTTGGTTGGTTCAATTCAGGCCCAGGCCCGTGTATATGTGATGATGTTTTGGATTGAGTTGGTTGGTTCAATCCAGGCCCTTGGATTTATGAGCCAGTTGGTTGGTTCAATTCAGGCCCTTGGATTTATGATCTGGTTGGTTGGTTCAATCCAGGCCCTTGGATTTATGAGCCAGTTGGTTGGTTCAATTCAGGCCCTTGGATTTGTGATCCGGTTCCCCTGGGTCAACATTAAAACTAACCTTCATGTACGTGTATATGTGATGATGTTTTCAATATTGATTAGCCAGTTGGTTGGTTCAATCCAGGCCCTTGGATTTATGAGCCAGTTGGTTGGTTCAATCCAGGCCCTTGGATTTATGAGCCAGTTGGTTGGTTCAATTCCAGGCCCTTGGATTTATGAGCCAGTTGGTTGGTTCAATTCAGGCCCTTGGATTTGTGATCTGGTTGGTTGGTTCAATCCAGGCCCTTGGATTTATGAGCCAGTTGGTTGGTTCAATTCAGGTTTTTTAATATTGATTAGCCAGTTGGTTGGTTCAATTTCCAGGTGGATGGTTCAATTCAGGCCCTTGGATTTATGATCTGGTTGGTTGGTTTCAGGCCCCCCAGTTGGGTCAACTTGGATTTTAAATCCAGGCCCTTGGATTTAACCTTCATGTGACGTGTATATGTGATGATGTTTTCAATATTGATTAGCCAGTTGGTTGGTTCAATCCAGGCCCTTGGATTTATGAGCCAGTTGGTTGGTTCAATCCAGGCCCTTGGATTTATGAGCCAGTTGGTTGGTTCAATTCAGGCCCTTGGATTTGTGATCTGGTTGGTTGGTTCAATCCAGGCCCTTGGATTTGTGAGCCAGTTGGTTGGTTCAATCCAGGCCCTTGGATTTATGAGCCAGTTGGTTGGTTCAATTCAGGCCCTAGGATTTGTGATCCGGTTCCCCTGGGTCAACATTTAAACTAACCTTCATGTACGTGTATATGTGATGATGGTTTCAATAGTTGATTGATTGTTGGGATTAAGGTTTGTTTACATTGGTATCAAAGACACCTAAATTCTAGTCATAGCTTACAGGCATTAAGATTAATCTTTGTGCATGGCATTGAAAATAGACATTGTTTCCGTTCAGGTAATTATTGAATATTTTGTTTAATTTGATTAAGTATTTATGGTTTATTATCTGTATGATTTAGAACATTAAACCGTGGTATTTATTTTACAACTTTATATGTTAGTGTCAGGCAGTAAGCAGTATTTCAGAACTTGTATTCATTTTAATGCCCATGACAATATAATAGAAATGAATGAATAAACTGACTGGGTTGTATGGTTTACTAGATTAGCTGAATGGATGGATTGGCTAATTCGGTGGTCAGTCTTGGTAGGTTGATTGATTGGATGTTCAGGCTTGTTAGGCTGCTTCCTGGATTGACTGACTGGGAGGTCAGGCTTGCTGTGTTGATTGACATGGTGGTCAAGCTTGCTGTGTTGATTGACTGGGTGGTCAGGCTTGCTGTGGTGATTGACTGGGTGGTCAGGCTTGATGTTTCAATTGACTGGGTGGTCAGGCTTGCTGTGTCAGTTGACTGAGTGTTCAAGCTTGCTGTGTCAATTGACTGGGTGGTCAAGCTTGCTGTGTTGATTGTCTGGGTGGTCAGACTTGCTGTGTCAATTGACTGGGTGGTCAAGCTTGCTGTGTCAATTGACTGGGTGGTCAAGCTTGCTGTGTTGATTGACTGGGTGGTGACATGGTGGGCTTGCTGTGTTGATGAATTGGGCTTGCTGTCAAATGTCTGGGTGGTCAGGCTTGCTGTGTTGGCTTGGGTTTGGTGGTCAGGCTTGCTGTGTTGATTGACTGGGTGGTCAGGCTTGCTGTGTCAATTGACTGGGTGGTCAGGCTTGCTGTGTCAATTGACTGGGTGGTCAGGCTTGCTGTGTTGATTGATTGGTCTGGCTTGCTGTGTCAAGCTTGCTGCGGTCAAGCTTGCAGATTGACTGGGTAGTCAGACTTGATTTGTCAATTGACTGGGTGGTCAGGCTTGTTTTCATTGCCAAGCTTACATATCAACTGGAAGTTTGAAGAAGTGGATAAAAGAAGTCAAAAACGACTTTCCAGACAACTGACAAGGATTTAGAAAACAAGGTTCTGTAGACCACCTGACTAGTTAAAAAACCATTTGATAACAGTTCTACTTTCTATTGGAATAAAGATCAACATTATATTTCATTGTTCTTGTGTGCCTTGCCCCCCACCCCCACCACACACACGATCACACATAGATATATACATACACACGTTATGGTTATGCTGCGAAGTCGCGTTTGCCTTCTTACATTCACTTCACTCAAGTAATGTTTCAAATGTTCCAGTATCTATTTCGCGAGGCACATAGCCACCTGTGGAGATGTACTTCCTCGTCCTTCTTTGATACACTGTTGGGTTCTAGAGGCCTGTTGTCATGGTGCCTGTAAATAACAAGTGCACAGCATTCACCCATTTACTACGAAACTATATTTGAACAGGCTGTTTTCATGGCGTCGTTGTCTAACGTGAATGTCATGATGCTATCAGTGTTTGTTTCGACAGCACCTAACTTTTTGTAGAAATTGATTCCCATTGTGTTCCTTCGTTTGGCCATCCACTGCATATATCCACATCCCCAGGACAGGGCTAACTGCAAAAGAAAAAGAAAGAACCTGTTAGAACAATGACCGTGAGAATGAAACATGAACATCTCCAAGCAAGTATGGCTACATTACTGCATATATACTCAGAGGCGAACGTTCCTGTCACATGGATCTTTTTCAGTGTAATCTTGAGAATGAATATTTGGATTTGACCCACAGAAAGAATGAGTTAAAATTGTCGAAGAAATGTAACAAAACTCAAAGGTGAACGTTATTACGTGGAATGATGTGAGGTACAGAGGTTGCAACAGATTTTGGAAATGTCCATTTTTCGTTTTTGCAACAGAACAGCCCAGGATTGACGTTTCAACACAATGGCGCCAGACCACACGTTGCTCCAGTTGTTCATCCGTATCTTAATTAGAACAATGTTAATGTGTTAACTTAACGAAATCATCCGAATCCTACAACAACTTAGCAACAATTCTGCCAAATCCATCCTCGGATGTGTAATGACTTCCATCGACGTTTAGTGGCCTCAATGAGACCAGGGTGCCAGGTTTTGCATCGATGCACAAGGTGGGCACACTCGAAACTGGCCGTGTGAACTTGTTTATGAACCTATAGAGCTTTGTTGCACAGGCCCCCATTGCGGGTCAGAAAATCGATAGGCTAGGCTACTAGTTTTAGTATCAACGCCCCCTACTATGTAATACAGGTCCGGTTTATATATACCCCTACATACAGTAGTAGGGGGTGTTGATACTAAACCGGGGCCTAGTTTATCGATTTTCTGACCCGCAGTGGGGGCCTGTGTCTTGTTCCAAGACTGTACTGAATTTTAAGTCAATGGATAAATATAGTACCGTCGGAAATAGAAAAAAACCTGGGTTTATGTAGTTAATAAGTGAAAGTGTGAAATATCTGTTAAACTAAGTTGGGCCTAACTATAGTCTGGGTGGTAGGGAGATAGGAAACGTAAAAAAAGGACTTTACGGAGGGGAGATTAGTGCAGCAATGTGCCAAAGTCCAAGTCGACTTATTTGGAACAGACCTTGGCTTTATGCAAATTAGTGTGCGATGATATTTTATTACAAAGGACACTTTTTAAATGCCTATTTTGAAATTAGACTTCATTAGAAACCATAGCTGACGTACAAAATAATATTTTTACTTGTCAAACTCTTAAGGATGTAGCTACCATGGAGTCTCACAACCACTATAAAAACAAACAGACATGGGGGGTCGTCTCAAAAGTAAAACCAGGTCGGGTGTCGCAGACGATGGTTGGGGTCGGGCTTGGGGATAGAGATATCGGCTAAGATAAGATAAGCCTTTAGGGGAATTAAACTGGGGAAATAACAATTTATAAATAATATCCAGTCCTGTCGATCTTCGGGTGGCCATGCTACCTATATATTTTGAGACATTTAATACGATGGCTGATTTAAGTCTTTCTATGGGAATCATGCTGTTTTACATATCTCAACATAAACTTTCTGAAAAAATAAGACTCGTTAGATGTTAATCAATATTTGAGACATATTCAACACACACGAAAACGCATAGAATATCTTTGAGATGACCCCTTGTGCCTGTAAGCAGCACGTGCATTCCATGCTTGGTGTGTCGACGGTCCTTCATCGTACCTGGCTGAGCGTCATATATAGCCTGAACTATTATTTAAGCAGCTATTCGTTTTTTCTAAGTTTTGTCCGATTTTACGAGTAAACAGGCTTTTCTGGATATCCTATTAGGCATCCCACCGAACGCCCAGTTAGGCCGATGTGGGTTATTTCGACATTTCGCTATTTGCAATTGTGTAAATTTTAGGAATACAGAGTAACAGCCAAAAAACAGGGTTTTTTCTATTTCCGACAGTACTTTAGTAATTCTATTCTTTACCAGAAGCAAGTCTAGATAAGCGGACGGTCAAAGGACGTCAGTCTGTTAGAGGGATACGTTTAGACTATCAGATATTTTTAGACTATTTACACTATTAATCATTACATTAGAACCCACCCCTGTGTTGTGACTCCTTTACATGTCAGATGCCCTGTTTTATAGACTGTTTCCAGTGAATAACATTTCATTCCTGACAGTACAAGTTTAATGCTGATTTTGCCTATTTGTGTGTCACAATAACATTTGCCTTTGAGTGTGCATCAAAGTTCACAGGTCACCACTTTCGACTATGACACGACAGCCTTGACCTACTTACATGGCTGTTATCGCTGAATCGACTCGCCCAGCGAGCTGCAATGTACCACGGTACTAGTACCACTAAAACAATTCATTATCTACGTAGATGATTCTTCCATTTACGTAGAAGATACTTTCATGCATACTTTAGATGATACATGTACGCATGTGATATTGATAATTACTATATCTATAAATACGTACAGTCTACTCAGGAAGTGTGTCTATAGCTATGTTTCTGTTGTTATATCGTATTCATGGTTTCTCGAGGAATCGCTACGCGCGGAATCAATTTCATCGTCATCCATGTAGATGTAAGTATCATCCATGTAGATAGGAGTATCATCAGTGCACTGCTTAGATGTAAGTATCATCCATGTAGATGTAAGTATCATCCATGTAGATGTAAGTATCATCCATGTAGATCCAATCCATGTATAGATGTAAGTATCATCCATGTAGATGTAAGTATCATCAATGTAGATGTAAGTATCATCCATGTAGATGTAAGTATCATGTAGTATGTAAGTATCATGTAGATGTAAGTATCATCTCATGTAGATGTAGATGTAAGTATCATCACATGTAGTATCATCCATGTAAGTATCATCCATGTAGATGTAAGTATCATCCATGTAGATGTAAGTATCATCTATGTAGATGTAAGTATATGTTAGTATCATCCATGTAGATGTAAGTATCATCCATGTAGATGTAAGTATCATCCATGTAGATGTAAGTATCATCCATGTAGATGTAAGTATCATCCATGTAGATGTAGATGTAAGTATCATCCATGTAGATGTAAGTATGTAAGTATCATCCATGTAGATGTAAGTATCATCCATGTAGATGTAAGTATCATCCATGTAGATGTAAGTATCATGTAGATGTCATCATGTAGATGTAGATGTAAGTATCATCCATGTAGATGTAAGTATCATCCATGTAGATGTAAGTATCATCCATGTAGATGTAAGTATCATCCATGTAGATGTAAGTATCATCCATGTAGATGTAAGTATCATCCATGTAGATGTAAGTATCATCCATGTAGATGTAAGTATCATCCATGTAGATGTAAGTATCATGTAGATGTAGATGTAAGTATCATCCATGTAGATGTAAGTATCATCCATGTAGATGTAAGTATCATCCATGTAGATGTAAGTATCATCCATGTAGATGTAAGTATCATCCATGTAGATGTAAGTATCATCATGTATGTAGATGTAAGTATCATCCATGTAGATGTAAGTATCATCCATGTAGATGTAAGTATCATCCATGTAGATGTAAGTATCATCATCATGTAGATAGTATCATCCATGTAGATGTAAGTATCATCCATGTAGATGTAAGTATATAAGTATCATCCATGTAGATGTGTATGTAGTATCATCCATGTATGTAGTATAAAGTATCATCCATGTAGATGTAAGTATCATCCATGTAGATGTAAGTATCATCCATGTAGATGTAAGTATCATCCATGTAGATGTAAGTATCATCTATGTAGATGTAAGTATATGTTAGTATCATCCATGTAGATGTAAGTATCATCCATGTAGATGTAAGTATCATCCATGTAGATGTAAGTATCATCCATAAGTATCATCCATGTAGATGTAAGTATCATCCATGTAGATGTAAGTATCATCCATGTAGATGTAAGTATCATCCATGTAGATGTAAGTATCATCCATGTGAAAGATGTAGATGTAAGTATCATCCATGTAGATGTAAGTATCATCCATGTAGATGTAAGTATCATCCATGTAGATGTAAGTATCATCCATGTAGATGTAAGTATCATCCATGTAGATGTAAGTATCATCCATGTAGATGTAAATCATCCATGTAGATGTAAGTATCATCCATGTAGATGTAAGTATCATCCATGTAGATGTAAGTATCATCTATGTAGATGTAAGTATATGTTAGTATCATCCATGTAGATGTAAGTATCATCCATGTAGATGTAAGTATCATCCATGTAGATGTAAGTATCATCCATGTAGATGTAAGTATCATCATGTAGATGTAAGTATCATCCATGTAGATGTAAGTATCATCTATGTAGATGTAAGGATATGTTAGTATCATCCATGTAGATGTAAGTATCATCCATGTAGATGTAAGTATCATCCATGTAGATGTAAGTATCATCCATGTAGATGTAAGTATCATCCATGTAGATGTATGTATATCCATGTAGTATCATCATCATGTAGATCATGTAAGTATCATCCATGTAGATGTAAGTATCATCCATGTAGATGTAAGTATCATCATCCATGTAGATGTAAGTATCATCCATGTAGATGTAAGTATCATCCATGTAGATGTAAGTATCATCCATGTAGATGTAAGTATCATCCATGTAGATGTAAGTATCATCCATGTAGATGTAAGTATCATCCATGTAGATGTAAGTATCATCCATGTAGATGTAAGTATCATCCATGTAGATGTAAGTATCATCCATGTAGATGTAAGTATCATCCATGTAGATGTAAGTATCATCCATGTAGATGTAGTATCATCCATGTAGATGTAAGTATCATCATGTAGATGTAAGTATCATCCATGTAGATGTAAGTATCATCCATGTAGATGTAAGTATCATCCATGTAGATGTAAGTATCATCCATGTAGATGTAAGTATCATCCATGTAGATGTAAGTATCATCCATGTAGATGTAAGTATCATCCATGTAGATGTAAGTATCATCATCCATGTTAGTATCATCCATGTAGATGTAAGTATCATCCATGTAGATGTAAGTATCATCCATGTAGATGTAAGTATCATCAATGTAGATGTAAGTATATGTTATATCAT